GATTCAACGGAGATTCAAGCAAATATAAGAAAACTGATGCCTGACGATGGAAAACCAAAGAAAACCGCATGAACGATTTTCCACCCTCGGATTTTGGTCTTTGAGAAACTTCTCAAAGCAACCGTGTCTAGAAAAGGTAAAACATAATTTGGACCAACCCTCGAAATGGTAGATCCTTTTGGTATTCAAAGGAAACTCAAAGAGGAAACCGTTGGCATCTTAGGAGACCACTGTTTATGTGTTTTTGGTAATTACAGCTATTGGTGTGGTTTTTAAGGGACACCAAAAGGACACCGGCCCAATTTGCTGGAAAACACCCGCAGGGGTGCAAAGGTGCACCAGCCTCGACGAAGTCCCCACTCAGGCGCCCCAGTACTTGTGCAGGCAGGGAGGCTTTGTCCTGCCGGGGGGGTGCGAACTCATCAACACAGGGACCCACAATGGAGGTATTCCTTTTGGTTTCCCAATGAAGCAACCTGAAAAAAGGTACCGTCAAGAAAGGAACACTCGCGCGCAGGCGCCCCGTTGGTTGTGCGGGGTCTTGGCCTGGCGAGGGAACGTGCTGCTTGAAAATGGACGAATGACGGAAACAACACATTGCAAAGTGGGTCAGTCAAGTCTCGCAATGCCGCAATGGATTGTTCCCACACTCCCTCAAGAGCAAGCGGTTCAAATCCCCCAACAAGTTGGCAAGTTTGGCTGAGCAACGCTCTCAACTAAGTGACGCTTAGTCAACTGACACCAGGACATGAGCTTAAATCCCATCCAGGCCGAATGTTCACAGCAGGCGTGGGGCTTCCGGAAGGGCTCCGGAATTGCTGTTCGGAATCGGGGCTGGTTTCTCAAGCCTGACGCAAGATATATTTTTGCAGGGGCTCCTCAAAATGCAAAAGAAAGGGGGACAGCCTCCAAGCACAAAGGGGTTTCAGTGGTAAGGGAATCCTTTTTTGGCAGATTCCGTGTTGACTTTGAAAAGGTTGGACAAATAGCTGGGCCTGGCTTCACCGTGAGCTGGCCTTCTTCAACTGGCCAAAGCGAGCCTTTCCCCTGTGTACCACGGGTACGGCCGTTCGAACCACACGAGGGGCTTGTAATCCAACCCATGAAAGGCGCTAAACCTCCGTTTCAGGGATTCCCGTTCCAAACTGTTCCAACTCATACTTCATGGCCGGAAGGATGCTGTGAACCAAAGCACGCATGGGCCTACTACTATCCCCCAAGCATGGAAGGCTCACTCTCCCGCCTAAACTCCCTGCGCCTTACACTGCAATTCTGAGCCTACTTCAAATCTCAGCAGTGGCTGAGGCAGGAAGCTGCAATCATGTGCAACAAGCCACCACAAATCAAAGGCACCACAAAGAAGCTCGGAATTTCGACATGTTGGTCAGTCAGGTTCTTTTCTAGGGCAAACTGTGAGGGTTGCAGGAGTTGTGCAGAGATTTCAGGATCTTCTGATTGGACTGCGACTGAAGGGTTGGCCAATCCGTACCATCCTTGTTGGGAAGCCACTAAGCAAAGAAGCACCAAATCTTCTCAATAACCCATGGAAAGTACCTTACGGAGTGCCTAGCAACCGACTGGGGTGCTACTTCCCTGTGAGCAAAAGATCTAACCTGTGGCAAGGTGACTGGAAAAGTAATGTGTTTCCAAAAGTCTAAGGGGTTACTACGTGGAGCTACTATGTGATCCTCGTCACATTGCTGAAAGTGGCCCGCATAGCGATGCTGAAAGCAGCTCCAAGAGAGAATAAAGGACGCAATCCAACAGCCTAGAAAGTGTTGCGACGTACGCAAAGAGGTCCATTGCGGCAGGGAAGGAATGGGATACAAGAATTCAGCAGCCTGAAATTTTAAATATCGGCCCCCAAGTAAAGCATTTTTAACGGGATTATAATTTGCCAGCTAGTTGGGATAGCTAATCAGTTGACTTACTAATCATCTAGCAAGCTACTTGTCGCATCTATTGACAAGATAGTAGAATGGGGTAGGGTCCAAACCAACCTTTGGCGGGATTGGGGGGGGGGGGGGCAAGAAGGAAGATCTTCAAGCTTACATTTGCGACCCAAACCTAACCAACCGTTTTGTTGACCTGATTTGAGATACCAAACTTGAATCAGGTGAGTACAAGTTTACTGGGGAGGGGACGGGACAAATAATTAGATGGTACTGGTACGCGATATAGGCCATGTTTCAACCCAAACTGACCTAATTTTTTTCGGACATCGGACGCCACACATTCTCACGTTGTCCTATGTTTGGCGCAACCTTATTAGCACCCTAAAAGCAAGAACCCGTCAAGCGCGGATTGTCTGACCTCTGTCTCACATCGCTTTCGCCTGCACCAACCCTAAACCAAGCACAAAGCCTAAGCCCACAAAAAAATTGACGCGTTAAGTTGAGGGCGCGCCCGAACCCCGACAAGAAACCCAAAACCCACCCCCCGACAAGAAACCCATCCACCCCCCGACAATTTTTGATCTTTCACCCCACGACAAGAAATCCCTGAGGAGGGATTGGCTGCGGATCCGCTTTTCGAGCTGGAATGCCGGATTCCAGCTCGAAAAAGGTTGTCTTGGGGATCCGCTTTTCGAGCTGGAATCCGGCAATCCAGCTCGAAAAGCGGATCCCCAGCCAATCCCTCCTGAAAGGGGGCCGTGATGAAGGTTGTCTTGGGGATCCGCTTTTCGAGCTGGAATCCGGCAATCCAGCTCAAAAAGCGGATCCCCAGCCAATCCCTCCTGAAAGGGGGCCGTGATGAAGGTTGTCTTGGGATCCGCTTTTCGATTGTCATGTGGACCGCTTTTCGAGCTGGAAATCCGGCAATCCAGCTCGAAAAGCGGATCCCCAGCCCAATTCCCATCTCCTGAAGGTGGCACGATCCCCCTTTTTCCCGAGCTGGAAATCACGGCAAACCAGCTCGAAAAGCGATTCCCGCCAATCCCTCCTGAAAAAAAAGGGGCCGTGATGAATCCGCAAATCCAGCGCGAAAGCGGATCCCCAGCCAATCCCTCCTGAACGGGGGCCGTGATGAAGGTTGTCTTGGGGATCCGCTTTTCGGCATTCCGGGGATCCGCTTTTCGAGCTGGAATGCCGAAAGCGGATCCCCAGCCAATCCCTCCTGAAAGGGGGCCGTGATGAAGGTTGTCTTGGGGATTCGCTTTTCGAGCTGGAATCCGGCATTCCAGCTCGAAAAGCGGATCCCCAGCCAATCCCTCCTGAAAGGGGGCCGTGATGAAGGTTGTCTTGGGGATCCGCTTTTGCGAGCTGGAATCCGGCATTCCAGCTCGAAAAGCGGATCCCCAGCCAATCCCTTCCTGAAAGGGGGCCGTGATGAAGGTTGTCTTGGGGATCCGCTTTTCGAGCTGGAATCCGGCAATCCAGCTCGAAAAGCGGATCCCCAGCCAATCCTCCTGAAAGGGGGCCGTGATGAAGGTTGTCTTGGGGATCCGCTTTTCGAGCTGGAATCCGGCAATCCAGCTCGAAAAGCGGATCCCCAGCCAATCCCTCCTCCTGAAAGGGGGCCGTGATGAAGGTTGTCTTGGGGATCCGCTTTGCGAGCTGGAATCCGGCAATCCAGCTCGAAAAGCGGATCCCCAGCCAACCCCTCCGCTTTTCGTGCTGGAATCCGGCAATCCAGCTCGAAAAGCGGATCCCCAGCCAATCTCTCCTGAAAGGGGGCCGTGATGAAGGTTGTCTCGGGAATCCAGCTCGAAAAGCGGATCCCCAGCCAATCCCTCCTGAATAGGGGCCGTGATGAAGGTTGTCTTGGGGATCCGCTTTTCGAGCTGGAATCCGGCAATCCAGCTCGAAAAGCGGATCCCCAGCCAATCCCTGCTGAAAGCGGGCCGTGATGAAGGTTGTCTTGGGGATCCGCTTTTCGAGCTGGATTGATGAAGGTTGTCTTGGGGATCCGCTTTTCGAGCTGGAATCCGGCAATCCAGCTCGAAAAGGGCCGTGATGAAGGTTGTCTTGGCGATCCGCTTTTCGAGCTGGAATCCGGCATAAAGCGGATCCCCAGCCAATCCCTCCTGAAAGGGGGCCGTGATGAAGGTTGTCTTGGGGATCCGCTTTTCGAGCTGGAATCCGGCAATCCAGCTGAAAGGGGGCCGTGATGAAGGTTGTCTTGGGGATCCGCTTGTCGAGCTGGAATCCGGCATGAAGCGGATCCCCAGCCAATCCCTCCTGAATAGGGGCCGTGATGAAGGTTGTCTTGGGGATCCGCTTTTTCGAGCTGGAATGCGGCAATCCAGCTCGAAAAGCGGATCCCCAGCCAATCCCTCCTGAAAGGGGGCCGTGATGAAGGTTGTCTTGGGGATCCGCTTTTCGAGCTGGAATCCGGCATAAAGCGGATCCCCAGCCAATCCCTCCTGAAAGGGGGCCGTGATTTTTCGAGCTGGAATCCGGCAATCCAGCTCGAAAAGCGGATCCCCAGCCAATCCCTCCTGAAAGGGGGCCGTGATGAAGGTTGTCTTGGGGATCCGCTTTTCGAGCTGGACGGCAATCCAGCTCGAAAAGCGGATGCCCAGCCAATCCTTCCTGAAAGGGGGCCGTGATGAAGGTTGTCTTGGGGATCCGCTTTTCGAGCTGGATTGATGAAGGTTGTCTTGGGGATCCGCTTTTCGAGCTGGAATCCGGCAATCCAGCTCGAAAAGCGGATCCCCAGCCAATCCCTCCTGAAAGGGGGCCGTGATGAAGGTTGTCTTGGGGATCCGCTTTTCGAGCTGGAATCCGGCATAAAGCGGATCCCTCCTGAATCGTGATGAAGGTTGTCTTGGGGATCCGCTTTTCAAGCGGATCCCCAGCCAATCCCTCCTGAAAGGGGGCCGTGATGAAGGTTGTCTTGGGGATCCGCTTTTCGAGCTGGAATCCGGCAATCCAGCTCGAAAAGCGGATCCCCAGCCAATCTCTCCTGAAAGGGGGCCGTGATGAAGGTTGTCTTGGAGCTGGAATGCGGCATTCCAGCTCGAAAAGCGGATCCCCAGCCAATCCCTCCTGAAAGGGGGCCGTGATGAAGGTTGTCTTGGGGATCCGCTTTTCGAGCTCGAATCCGGCATAACGCGGATCCGCAGCCAATCCCTCCTGAATAAGGGCCGTGATGAAGGTTGTCTTGGGGATCCGCTTTTTCGAGCTAGAATCCGGCAATCCAGGATCCCCAGCCAATCCCTCCTGAAAGGGGGCCGTGATGAAGGTTGTCTTGGGGATCCGCTTTTCGAGCTGGAATCCGGCATTCCAGCTCGAAAAGCGGATCCCCGGCCAATCCCTCCTGAAAGGGGGCCGTGATGAAGGTTGTCTTGGGGATCCGCTTTTCGAGCTGGAATCCGGCATTCCAGCTCGAAAAGCGGATCCCCAGCCAATCCCTCCTGAAAGGGGGCCGTGATGAAGGTTGTCTTGGGGAATCCGCATCCAGCTCGAAAAGCGGATCCCCAGCCAATCCCTCCTGAAAGGGGGCCGTGATGAAGGTTGTCTTGGGGATCCGCTTTTCGAGCTGGAATCCGGCAATCCAGCTCGAAAAGCGGATCCCCCAGCCGTGAATTGTCCCTCCTGGAATCCGGGCTCGAAAAGCGGATCCCCAGCCAATCCCTCCTGAAAGGGGGCCGTGATGAAGGTTGTCTTGGGGATCCGCTTTTCGAGCTGGAATCCGGCATTCCAGCTCGAAAAGCGGATCCCCGGCCAATCCCTCCTGAAAGGGGGCCGTGATGAAGGTTGTCTTGGGGATCCGCTTTTCGAGCTGGAATCCGGCATTCCAGCTCGAAAAGCGGATCCCCAGCCAATCCCTCCTGAAAGGGGGCCGTGATGAAGGTTGTCTTGGGGATCCGCTTTTCGAGCTGGAATCCAGCAATCCAGCTGAAAGGGTGCCGTGATGAAGGTTGTCTTGGGGATCCGCTGTTCGGCATTCCGGGGATCCGCTTTTCGAGCTGGAATGCCGGCGGATCCCCAGCCAATCCCTCCTGAAAGGGGGCCGTGATGAAGGTTGTCTTGGGGATCCGCTTTTCGAGCTGGAATCCGGCATAAAGCGGATCCCCAGCCAATCCCTCCTGAATAGGGGCGGTGATGAAGGTTGTCTTGGGGATCCGCTTTTCGAGCTGGAATCCGGCATAAAGCGGATCCCCAGCCAATCCCTCCTGAAAGGGGGCCGTGATGAAGGTTGTCTTGGGGATCCGCTTTTCGAGCTGGAATGCCGAAAGCGGATCCCCAGCCAATCCCTCCTGAAAGGGGGCCGTGATGAAGGTTGTCTTGGGGATCCGCTGGAATCCGGCAATCCAGCTCGAAAAGCGGATCCCCAGCCAATCCCTCCTGAAAGGGGGCCGTGATGAAGGTTGTCTTGGGGATCCGCTTTTCGAGCTGGAATCCGGCAATCCAGCTCGAAAAGCGGATCCCCTTCGCAGGAGGAAAGAAGACTAGGGGAAGAGGAAAGAAGACTAGGGGAAGAGGAAAGAAGCTTGTTTTGGGCTGCAAGCATCGCTGTCGGGGTGTCGGTGTTTTTTTATCGTGGGGTGAAAATAAGAAATTGTCGTGGTAACCAACGTTTTAGTCGCAGGGTTGCAGTTTTTTGGCGTGGTTAAGGCCCGTGCTGGCGTTAAAACCCCCCAGGGAAAAACCAAAAAAGCAACAAAAACAACCGCCCGAACCGCCTGAACCGCCTGAAGTTGACGCCAAAAGGGCGTCTTCTCTGGCCTTGAGCAGCACCGTGAAGATGTGGGCCGGGTCCAGTTGCAGATGGCCCCTCTGGCGCGCCAACTTGGCCGCTTCCTCGATGACCTCTCGAGTTGGCGGGTGTCGTCGGGCCCGTTAAGGAGAGGGAGTCGCGGGTCCGGCTGTTTGGGTAGCTCCTGACCCACCAAAGTGTGTGCGTGTGTTCTTTGAGGGCACCTTTTTTAGGGTTGGCTTAGAGGAAAGCCAGCGCGAAACCACCCCCAGAGCTGTTTCAAGACGTGTGTAACAATGCTGCCAAGGTTAAGGGTTGCACCTGCCGCATCTTGTTGCGAAAACCAGCGCCAGCTGAGTTAGGACTCGACTGGGTTTCGTTTCGTGCGGGTTTTTGAGACTTCGAACCCGGGTTGGCCGTTTAGATCAAGTGGTTGGGAAATATTTGCGGGTTGAAGGGCACAGTCTGGCTCTTTGGGGGGCCCATCGTATGTCCGGGCTTTTGGTTCTGCTTCGGGAGGGAGGGTGTTGCTCATAGATGCTCATAGTATCTTTTACTTTTCCCTTTTTGCAGGGAAGATGGGGGGAATGTGTTTTGCTCCTTTTCATTGGGAGGACTTACCCGGTTTTTGGGGAGGATTTACCACGTTTTTGGTTAGGGACTGAGAGGGCAACAGGGAAGCTTTGTAACGAGCAGACAGCTATGTTTCTTGACCCAGGTCCCCAAGTGGTTGAAATGTTCAACATTTCAACCACTTGGGGACCTGTGTTGAGCTCCTGGACAACTTGTCTCATACTAATTCAAGTGCCCAGTGTAGCAAAAGCTTAACAACTTACTTGGGTTTGTTTCAAATAGGGGAACCCCCCTCAAATAGGTGGGCTGCTTGTGGTTTCCCTTTAGAACTATCTCTCAAAGGTACCCTAAAAAACACACGGAGAAGCATTGGTTGCTCCTGAAAAGCGGAACTCGAACAAGAGCCTTCAGGTTGCAAAGCCCCTCGAGATCCAACGAAAATCACAGCTACCCCCAAAAGAAAACTCAAGTAACCATAATATGGGTATGTGTCGCAATAAGGACCACCCCCCCGCCCCCAATGGAGGCTTTCCCTGAAGAAACACACACATACATTGCGTGTCCCCGGCTTCTGGTCTGGGCTTTAAATACGGGTCCGGAGAAATTATCCAATTACCTATCCCGCTTTGGTTTCCCCTTTGGGGTTCAACCATGGATTCTCTTGGCATTGCCTTGCTGGTCATATCCGTGAATTCCGCATTCGCCATGGCGCGATAGCACGAATTGGAACGAAGCAGCTTGGGAGTGCCGGAAACTGCGGGCGCCACGCACCGGTCAAAACCTGCGAGCGTGTAACTCAACGGGCTTCCTTTGGTTGGTATTTACAGGGAAACCAAAAGGAAACCGCTGCCATTTCGGGGCCTTCTTTTGAGAAACCCTCATCATAGCCCGCAAACGCCGGTTCCCCGCGCAGTCGGTAGATGACAAGGGTGACCATGGGCAAAAATGCCCTTTTGTCTCTACACGCTGAAGATAAAGTGAAGGATTCCAGCACAAGCCATCCAAACAATCAACCAGGATGGGACTATCCAAGGAAGGAGGGATTCGATTGGATTTAATTTACCAAACAAAAACCCATATTAGGATCAAGCATGTTATTTGCGTTTGTCAGGGAACCCGCCTCTAAGAGGAGACCTGCACAAATCAAACTAGATTTCACCAACGGGTCCGGTTTCCTTTTGGATCACCAAATACCAAAAGGGAGTCCGCCATTTTAAGAAACTCCCGTACGATTTCAGGAATTCACGAACCTTCTTTCATCAGTCGCTTGCTTTGCCGCCCCCCAGTTCAGCGTATGGAGCTCACAATCGTTCTTGGCCAGACTTTGACCTCTGCAACAGGCTGACGTGTTGCTTCAATAGGAAAACACCCAGAAGGGTAACAAAGCAACAGGGTAACACCGCTCCAGAACAACATGGAACCCAAACAACCCTCTTTTGTAGAGGACATTCCTTTTGAGGGTTTTTTTGGGGGGTTCCTTCCGTTAACTTGCAGTCGAGAAGTCTGGAAATGCTTTAGCCATCTCACAGTGCCCATGTCTTCGCTTGATGGTCATGAGGTCTGGAACCTGGTTTGGCTAAGTCGGGTTGCTCTCCCTATCTCATGCTCCAAAATGGTCTGCTCTGAACTGAAATCTTCTTTCTGGATGCCTCAAAGGCTGATTGTAAGGATCCATGTATCAGGCCCTGCAAAGCATCTGGAAACTGTTTGCTGATCAGTTGGGGAAGCTGCAAGCCTCAACGTATCTCAACGTATCAAACCCTCTCTGTGTTTGAAAAACTTTGGTCAACTATTTCACCATTTGTTATTAGGCTAGCGGCAATAGCTTCATTCTCGGAACCCAACAGCAAAAGGGGCTCACCATGGTTATCCAACCATGGCAACACAGGGCGACGAGCACCTCTGTTTCTGTTGGTTCGGTTCTGAACGAAACCTCAAAAAAGAGACAGGGACGCGAAACCCAAGAGGAAACCCGCCACCAAACAAGAAAACAATCAAACAAGAACAACGGAACACAGAGGCATCACAAAAGTCCGCTACCGTTAAGCCATCGTTCGTCTATGCCGCGTCAAGCACACATAGTATGATGCAATATGATGCATATAAACATGGTGGCCGGGAGCAAAGAAGTCAAACACCACTCCTTCAAACGCACACACACACACACCCTGCACACAGAAATTTTTACATTCACACCAACGCAGCACACACACACACACGGCATGTGTGACATTCAACTGCAGCTTCTTTTCGCACAAATTCAAGCTGGTCAATCTTCATCGCTGTAGCTGCTCTCCTGGAGCGAGCATCATTCTGCCGGCGAGGATTTTGACGAATGGAGAAAATAGGCAAGCCCGACGAAAGAAATGTGCAAACATACTGGCAAAGTCTTGCTGTGCAAACGCCTGTGAGCCGGTCAAGCGTTGCCAGCGCCCACAACTGTAACCACAAAGCGCGCAGAGAGGCGCAGCCAAATGCCAGGAAGGAGTCCAGGCGTGCGCGACACAGTTGTCCAAAATAAGGCGGTTCTCCCCAGAGGTGCGAATAAACGCCCATCTGTTAATTGCGCCACGAAATTGGACCGCAGCAACCTCGAGGGACTTTCGAATAGAAAGACCGTCGAGAGAAACCCAAATGTCAAGGGAGACAGACTCAAAGGGCCTGAACTTCAGCGAATTTTGAATGTCAGCACAAATAGAGGGACTGCTGGGATCAAGAGTAACGTCAGTATCGGGCGCAAATGTAAAAGGACGCCTGCGTGCAAGAACTATCGGAACAGCAGTCTTGCAAACAAGTCTCCGACGAAGGGTAAATCTGTCAAAGAAGGGGTTGTTTCTCCAGTTGGCAATGCGCAACACCGCATCTTCAAAAGTCACATAGATTTTGGAGGGATGTTTGCCAGAAGCAACGTACTCATCACTAATATTGCAAAGCATGCGAAATGCAGCCGGGAGGATATCGTTCCTAGCCCTCCACCCTTGTCGCATAGCACCAATGCTTGGGAAGCCGTTGAGAACCTTAAGGAGCCTAGGCTCAGCATGCATCTGAGAGCTGTCGAAGTCCTGAAAGTGCAGCAGAGCAAGCTTCTACCATAAAATCTTGAAACGCCAGGTAATCTCCTTCATGGTACTCTTAATGGCACGGGCATTGTCCATGCACGGAACATCCGTCCCACAAAGAAGGATACAGAAGAGAAGAAGTTCCATCCAGGTAGGTTCACGTCCAGGTTGCTGAGCAGGTTCATATTTGGTCCAGCTCATGCAGGCGGAAATAAATTGAAAGTCACGAAGTTTACCACCCCAAGAGATCCACTGGGTTGGCCCAAATAGGGGAATATTTCTACTGATTGTCCAAACTGCAAGTAGAGGGCATCCCCAACAACCAAGCACCAGAGCACATGGCCAAACAAGAAGTCAGGCCTCAGCAGCTCTAGAATATTCACATTCTTAGGAAGCGACATTCTTTGGGTCGAGGAAGCCTAGTCGCTGGCCGCCTTGAGTTGTAACTTATGCGGAGAGCAACGAATCCCATGCTTTTCTTGCAACTGGGTAGTGGGGAGGTGTCTCATACTTGCGCACCTCGGAGGGACGCTAGACCAAAAGGAAGGGCGTGAGAAAGGGACCTGGAAGTGCGGAGCCAAACGAACGGGCAACACGGAAAGGGAACCAGTGTTTGGGGTGGTGCTGGCGAGCAGGGTCAGGGTGCCGCTTCCTTCCATAAAAAGGGGTGGACGTCCACAGTGACTACCAAGGAAACCTCAACCCATGGGCCGAAAACAGCTAACGCCACAACAAACACAGCATAGGGGCAGTGTGCCAAAAAGGCGCTGCTAATTACAAAGAGCCACCACGGGACATCTAGGGACCTCTGAGGAACCCGATCCGTCCTCCTCGGCGCGAGGCTTTGCCTTGGCCTTCATCTTGAACTTGGCCTTGGCCTTCGCCTTGGCCTCAGCAATGGGAGGGATGTCAGAGAAAAAGCGAAAAACTGGGGGTCCTGTTTGGTCTCCTCTTGAAAAAAGGCGGCGCTCGGCACCCAGACAAGCCCAACAAGGGCTCTGCGAAAGCCCTCGAAGGCCTAGCCTCTCTTATGGGGACCATCTTTGGCTGAAGCCTCAAGCGGTCGGTCGGTTTTTTGCTTCGGGGGCGGGCTCAGGAGTCCAGATTTGGTTCAAGCCCAAAAACATCACCCTCCCAAAACAGATACCGAAACGGAAACTCACTTTGCATTGGCCTTCTCAAAAGGTGATGTGTTCAACCGCGCGTGGGAAAAGGGGTAGCCACGCAGCACCCAAACAAGCCTGAAGCACCCCCAATCCCTCCATTGCAACCGCTGGCTTTCTTTCCATTGTTTCCAATTCAATGGCACCATGACATCGGCGTGTCCTGCTGCCATGGTTTGCAAGAATGCACCAAGCCACCAGGATCCACCAGGGCTTGTTTCCCCCCCTCGCGAAACCAAGAGACTCCTGAAAGTGAAGCAACCCTGTTTGCAATATTTTGGCAAGCAAAAGGGAGGCCCTGCAACCAATGCTCACCCACCTCGATGTTGCTCCTTTTTTGCTTACCTTGGCATCACCAAGTATCACACAAGTGGACCCCCACTTCCTATACAACCCTGATTTCATGGTAGCCTATCTTGAGCCTATCTTGACATGACCCTGAGTCCCTGTCCGAAAGGTGCTGCTTGAACCTTCATTCAATCGTTTGTGTATCTATACTGTATCTCTACTTGTGGGAAGTTGTGAGAGTTATCCATGTTCCGAACCGAATTGGCCACAAATCCAAGATTCGACAGATCGTTTTATGATTTACGGGCCATATTCTCTATTCCGGAATGGATCTGCGTTGCATTTGTTTGCGAGTAACTTGGGCTTGTCCTCCTCGCCAAACATCTGAGGTCTGCTTAGTCCCACCTAACATTGCAAATTGGAACAAATGCTTCCTTCACAATATATATATATATATACAACCCTGCCTTTTGCCCATCGCACGCATGGCTTCATTGCACACGTCACAGTGTACTATTTTGGCGGGACGGCAAACACACAAGGTCTCCCACTCTTTACCTCTTTTCCTTGGTGTGTACCAATCTTTACCCCTCTTCGGTTTGGTTTGTAAAGGGAAACCAACGGAACGTCCGAACTGGTACCCAAAGAAGTCCACCCAAACCCACGCGCCTTGGCCGCCGCGACTTCCGCTTCCAGCATCTTGGCCCTGGCCTTGGCCATGCGCTCGTAGACCTGGCGCGTTTCTGGCCCTTTGTTCTTTAGTCTGTTTTAGTAGGTTGCGGAATGAGCCGTTTGGGATCCAAAAGGAAAAAGATGAACCACTTCCAAGCTTCCTTCCCTAGCTTCAGTTTGAATCCCGCCAGGGATGCCTTTCAAGGGCACCACAGGTATCCGCTCATCTGCAAACCATCGACACGGCGATATCCAAGCCATGGGAAAAGGCGGCGCGTATGGGTGAGTTCTGATAGCTCACCAGCCCAAAGTTCGCCCAACAGCGTCTGACAGTTCCTTATGAAAGGCGCCATCATGGGTTCACCGTGCGCCTTTCTTCAAAGTGGATAAAGGTTTGGGCACGTAGTGAGGATAGATTTCAGCCATCCCTTTTCCAGCATTGTTCTCTTTTCAAGCAGCCAGGCGTTGGTGGATTTATGGCAAAATTCAGATGCCTGGACAGAATCGGCCAACATGAGCAACGCAGGCTCTTTTTCAAATGAATGCCGCCTTTGAAAGGATGTGTGCACCAAATCATCCGCAAAGTTTAACCTAATTCCAAAACCAGAAAGAAGGATTAGACTTAGAGCCAGGGGTGCTCCATTTCCATTTCGCAGGGACACCGTTTGGCTAAGTCTGATTGGGGTAGTCCAAAAATGAAACCGAGTGTGCCGCTGTACTCCGAGAGGGGTCCCCCCAAATGCGCAAAAGCAAGGTAAAATTGGCTTGCCGTTTTGTTGCGAGCCTCTTTTGGGGATGTCCTCAAAAAAGACTGACAACAGTAAAAAACAAACAAAAGTGCCACCTCTTGTTGGGACTTCCCTTTGAGACGAGCTATATGGCGGTTGTCTGAAATTCCTTGTCCCCGGAAACGCCATCTTCGCGCCAAAAAAAGAGAACATTCGCAGCCTCCATCGTGGATTTGTCGCGGAGCTATGTTCACATATTTTCACACCATTCCATCACACAAATAGCACGCGAAGTACAATTCCGCAGTCTGGCTGGCAAGTCGCAACTTTTCAATAAAACAGTAGTACACGCAGCAAAACTCCGCAGCCCCAGCTCGAAAGTTGAAACTTTTCAGTTCACAGGGGTGGACCCGTTGGCCACCCACCACCCGTGCCGGAAAGGACCGTCGACTATCGCGGAACTTTCGCGGATGCTTCGCCAAACATTACTGAAAATGCGGCTGGACTCGAAAGTTTGAAAACTCCAACAAGCTGCTTTCTGCTAGGGGTTGCCTTTGCAGCGGCGCAATTTGTGGCGTCAATCCTCAGGCCGCGCTTTTTTCATCATCGCATCTTCCTCTTAGCAAACCACCAATGCACAAAACTTTCGCCTCCATCAAAGCTTTCGCGTCGGGCAACACTAAGGCAAAAAGGTCATCCCCTCCTGGAGTAGAATGAGTAGAGCTGTTTGGCTAGATTCCCACCATGGAATCTGACAGTTTGGAGTCTTCAAGGGACCTTCTGGTGCCATCTCAGGGCACCTCAGCTTTTAAATTGGCAAGGTCAAAAAGTGGTATTGCCCTCCTGAACACGGGAACACGAGTGACTCAAGTTTGACGAGTCACACTTTGAGATGTCACTTTTGGCTCTTGATCCAAAATCACTGAACGCTTTGTTTGGTGAATCTGGTCCCAAGGCAATGTGGGTGGGGCTTGCCTGAAGCAGCACCCCCACACTGAGCCAAATGCAACCACCGGTTGACGTTCAAAGCCACCTAAAGGGTCGAACTAAACAGGCTGCTCAGTGCTTCGGCCCCACCAAACAGCAAAAGGAAAACCCAAAAAAACACCAAAATACAATGTCCTCCGGCCTGGTAGCCAGCGCCCCCCGCGATGCCGATGGGCACACCGACTGAGCAACGCTGGGGAGCCGCTCGCCAGAATCACGTGCTTCGTCACATAGCTTTGCCATGGAGGTTGGAACCCCTTCAAAGGTCCGAATTCAGAACAAGGAATCAACATGAAACCATTCGGAGATCTCAGGCTCGGGTATGTCTAAAAAATGCCTGACCCTTCCCCAAAACATATGTGGTTTCCCTTTGGTTTCCCTTCAAACAACCCCCTCAAACGGTCCATGTCCAATCCCATACCGCAAGACATCTTGTGTGGACTGCTCCTCCACCCCATATCCCGTGTGCGGACATGGGCACGGGCTCTTTTGTCGGGATAGCGTTGAAGGGGCAACTAAAAGAAACACTTCGTTAGGGATCTATTTGGGGAAACACTCTGACTCTGAACCTTCAAGAGGCAACTCTCCCAGATGCTTCAGGAAAAAAACTATCCTTGAAGGGCTCTGGCTCTGGCAGCCTCATTTCTACTTTACGCGAGCCTTGTTGTTCTCTTCATACGACTCCGTTGGGGACTACCAAGCTTGCGCGACCCTATGTTGATCACAGCACCCAACGGCCCCAGGCGATGTGAGCCGAATTCTGTCAAGCTGGGCCGGCTTGACTTCCCACTCTCTGGCATATCCGGCTTTTGAATGAGCCCTACAAACTAGAAACGAGAACCAAAGAAGCATACAAAAAGAATGTACCGAACCTAGCAACACCTTTGTGACTGAAGTATGATAATCAACCTGCTGTTGCTATAGATCCGCCACGTTTGTCCCACTCTTGGTCAATGACTTTCTGGTAGTGGCAAACTCGCGATTCCTAACCCAGACCTGCCGACGGGGGTGGAGTTTTGAGCGGTTCTAGGGAGTCAAGGGACGGGCAGTGCAAACTCCCGCTGAGAACCCCTCCTTGAACTCTTCAAGGAGCAGATCGACCGGAAACGCGATCCGTTGATCGAGGCCGTGGCGGACAAATATCGTGGATAACCTCAGTGGCGAGAGCTCAAATAATTTGTTTCGCATGTGAGTCGCAATCAAACCTGGTACTAAAATGGTCTACCCCGAACCATGTACAGGCTTAAGAAGGCGGCCGCAGCTATTTATGGTTGGGATTTCCCTTACTAACCTTCATCTACCCGGGTTTTGATTGTGGCTCATGTGACGGTATGTGTAACAACTAGACACCCATGTCGTTTGGGATTGGTTTGAAGAGGGAGCCACCATGTCGTCAAGCATTTGGGAGGACTGCCAGATTGGGACACATTGGACACATGCCCACATGCTGATATAACAATGACAGTCATCAGCAATGGTTGTGTCATCTGTTCTTTTAACCAGGCTAAAAAAAAAAAAGACTGGCTGTTTGAGCCAACAGCCCGGCTACAGGCTGCAACAACACTTTTCAACCTGCAGCTTTGAATCAAAACGGCTGTTTTTGCCAAGCGGCCCCAAGTGGATGCCAGCCTTGAGACCGGTGCCATGTTCGTTCTCGTCCATGTCTGGCCTCAAGGAAAGGTGAGGAACGAGGAATCTTGGAGCCTCCTGTTTCAGACCGGGATTAAGTGCAGAGCTGTATAATACAAAGCTCTACAGTCGACAACTTGCAGATGTCCCACCCTTGTTTTCATGTTCTGGGGGAGGGGGTAGCTGGAAACTCACCTGGGCTCCTCTCCAATGGAAAGCTTTTCACTGAAAGGAAGCCCGCCACATTTGTTTGGGGGGTCCGATTCCTACTTGTAGACACGGCCAACTTCGCGACATGTGGTTGACATGCTTCGGGTGTACATGGCCTCCTTAGGGCTTAAGATTGCCCTAGCGTCATCACATTGCAGCATAATAATACCACATTGCCGACAAGGTTCTCATGTCGACCCCCGATGAACAAGATTGAGGGGCTTGCCCTAGGAAGAGAGGAGTTCCCACAAAAAAAGCGCCTCGGTGAGCAATAGCTCGGCTTGGCCAAGATCAGGGGTACACAGAAAATAACATGGTCTGGCTCTGTTCCATGTTTAGTGTACAATATAAATAGCTGCTCAGAAGACTCCAGTGGGGGGTTCATCAATCAGGGGTTGACATTCCTGTGATTAAATGAAAACGACCTGTTGTGCCAACGCCGCTGCGAGCAAAGGCCGGCACTTTTTGCAGGTGGTCTCCTCCAGGATCACACCTGCAACTTGCCACAGCTCAAACATACTGCCATAAGAATGAATGAATGAATGAATGAATGAATGAATGAATGAATGAATGAATGAATGAATGAATGAATGAATGAATGAATGAATGAATGAATGAATGAATGAATGAATGAATGAATGAATGAATGAATGAATGAATGAATGAATGAATGAATGAATGAATGAATGAATGAATGAATGAATGAATGAATGAATGAAGGAAGGAAGGAATGAATGCATGAATGAATGAATGAGTTGGAGAAATGACGCAAAGCTGCACAAAACACATGAACCGAATGGATAAAGAAACCCACGGAGGAATGCACAAGCAAACACATAAATTAACGGATCAATGACATGCACGTGGACATGAATCGGAAACGGCTGAAACAACAACATGACATGGCATGCAGTGAAACTGAAAAAAACAAACTGCACTGAGATGACATTGCATGCAAAAACATGCCATGAAATAACATGACACCATGACATGACATGCGAGGAAGCTAAAGAAGGACTGAACCGCAATGATATGACATGAATGAACCTCAGTTTCTGAGGGCTCCTCCATTACCCTGCGCACTCAACCACACCCCTAATTAGGCCCATGGAAATCAAAAAGCTTCAACAATTCCACAACAGACAGTGGAAGCTCTTCTCAGGACACCACCCGGTCGTTGCAAGGCCAAGATCCTCCAAAACCCTCCGAAAATCCAAGCAACTTTTACATTGGATGTGTGTTTTTTCAAGGGTACCCCTTTTGGGATGGTTTCGAAGGGACACCAAAAGAAGCCATACGCATTTTGGGGGGAGATCCCTATATGACACATAAACCTCGACGGACGAGCGAAGCTCGCAGGTGCCACTCTGGGGCGCTCGGTTGATTTAGATGTTGCAACAACCAAAAGGCGACGTTCGAATCACGGGGAAGAGAAGCAAGCTCTTGGGGAACCGACGGGCAAAAGAGGCAGGATTTCCTATATATGTCCCATGTCTCCTGCAGGAAGTTCACCTCAAACGACCCAGAAAACAATGTTTTACACCACATGGCATGGAACCAAACAACGCCATCCATTTTCATGGATTTTGACGGGGCAATGGTGGACATCGTTGCGTGAGGGCTCCTATCATTTTAGATTCATAGCCACGTGTATCTTTGCGGGTTGAACAAAAGTCAACTCCTTCGGGCGCCTCCGTCGGGATCATTGACTCCACCATCCGGGCGCCTCCGAAAGCCCAAGGGCCAAGGTCCAAGGCTTGTGGATCCGTGTGGTAGCAAAGAGCAATGAACGATTCCCATCCCGACTACTTTGCCAGTGGGGGCTTTCCTTGGCGCGGACATTGGCCCTAAAACTAAGTCTCCCAAAATGAATGCAGGTGTTGGGAAGACAACACAAAACAACACAATTGTGTAAGCCCCAAGAGCGGTGGCCAAACGCAACAAACCCATATTTATCGGTGGCTCATCAGCATTTCCCTTCCCAAACAATCACCAAAGAAAGCAATCTGTCGGTCTCGGGACAAGGCAATCAAATAATGAGATTGCGGGTTTTAGTTGAGCCACCCTAGAACCAGAAAGGCGCTGGACATGATTGGAGCGAAGTCAGCCAGTTGAAAAAACAGGCCAAAACAAGTTGAGGCGCTTCGGCAGGCTTCCAACATGATACAGAAACTTATCGCTGACCTGAGTGGACTGGCCTGACAAGGCCGAAACGCTGTGGCCCCAGACCAGCTGGCAACAACAAGCTTAACGTCTGGAAAGTGACCGGGATAATCAAGCAAACGGTTAACGCTTGTCAACGGAATAGACAAGCTCTAGCTAACAGAGAATGTCCAAACTCATGTCCGAGTACCCTAGGATGAAACTTGAAATCAAACAATGGTTGTTCCTATGAGTTAGAGCCGTGAAGCATGAGCACATGCTTCCATCTGGGCAACTTGTACACACACGTTTGCCACGACTCCAAGTCCAACGGTTTCATCACCAGAAGCAGGCATTGGACTTGGCAAGTTGTGCCCCTATCAGCAGCATCCAAGTCATCAGGGGAGTTCTCCGAACCATAAACCAGCCAAACGAGCGCCTACTGAGAACGGACAAGTAAATCCAGAGTCAGAAGGATCGGAAACCTTACTCCTTCCCAAGGCTTGGCGTTGAGCAACCTGAAGCGCACAGTCAGCGACAATCACAGGGTCCCAAATGAGCCGTGATCAAACATTCCTTTGTTTACTGCATGGCAAACTTAGATTTTGTCGCCAGGTTGTTGTGGGACATTTAAGGCCATGTCGCTTTCAACTGGGCTTCCGATCAAGCGGGTTGGCAAGATAGAGTCTAAACGTTTGTTTGCCTCTGTGCTCCCAAAAGCTTAAAGTCCTGACACCCAGGCAGTGAGCCTTTGATTTGTTGGCTGCCCCTCTTGGCCAACCCTTCAAACATGCTGTTGACCATGCTTTTTGGGGTTATTTTTCAAACGGAGAGTGTGGCTGTTGAAACAACAGCCCAACCCTGGCTACCATGAGCTTCAACCTGGAATGCATTATTAATCACTAAGCTCGCGAGGCATCTCTATTCCAAATCCGATTCAAAGCCATAGGAAGGGGAGCCATAGGAGAGATACGGCCTTTAATCATGCTAAATGGCCTCGAGTGGCTCCCCTTGCTATGGCTCTGAATCAGTATTGAGCGTGGTCTTCTGGAATTGGCCTACTTCCTGAGTTAACTGAGTCCAAGCATTTGTTCCCCGCGATCTCCTCCATAGGCGGAGACCGAAGTCCACAAATTGCCATCTCATGTGGCTCACGCCTGACCCCAGCAAGCTTCCGTCTTGCAACCTACGAGCCTGTGCGCTTGGCCCATGAAGCAGGTAAGAACAATATATAATTTCCAACAACACGGGCACTAGGCAAAGACAATGGGCACCCGTGTTGCTGTCCACAGTCTAAGATGTCTTGGCCAGCGCATCTGTGAGAATCTTGGCGACGAGGGCTGCGCAGCAGTCCCACGTCGCCAACCTGGTTTTCAAGGATGCGCAGCTGCAAGCGCTTCGTGTTTTCTGGGTGACTCAGAGCACGCTCCCATCTCGAGAACGACATCGGGGACGTCGAGACAAGTTGGCTCCGCAACGTGGACCCTTGCGCAGCTGCTTGAGGATGTGTGGCTCTCTCACACACACACACAAATGGTCACAAACGCTGACCGGGATCCGTAACCAGATGTTTGCAAGCTCTCAGGCTTTGCGCTTTGGTCTGGCAAGGACACACAATCAAAAAAACTCGTCCTTCACTCATTGACAACGACGTGGGCGCTGAGTGGACAAAATGAGTGCCCGTGTTGCTGTCCACGGACTAGGCTGTCGTGGCCAGTGCATCCGTGAAAACCGATCGGCGCCGAGGGCTGCGCAGCAGTCCCCCGTCGCCAACCCGGTTTTCAAGGATGCGCAGCTGCAAGCGCTTCACACAGAGCACGCTCCCATCTCGAGAACAACATCGGGGACGTCGAGACAAGTTGGCTCTAGCGTCACCGATCTGGTTCTGCAACGTGGACACTTGCGCAGCTGCTTGAGGATGTGTGGCTCTCTCACACACACAAATGGTCACAAACGCTGACGGGATCCGTTGTTTGCAAGCTCTCAGGCTTTGCGCTTTGGTCTGGCAAGGACACACAATCAAAAAAACTCGTCCTTCACTCATTGACAACGACGTGGGCGCTGAGTGGACAAAATGAGTGCCCGTGTTGCTGTCCACGGACTAGGCTGTCGTGGCCAGTGCATCCGTGAAAACCGATCGGCGACGAGGGCTGCGCAGCAGTCCCCCGTCGCCAACCCGGTTTTCAAGGATGCGCAGCTGCAAGCGCTGCGTTTTTGTTGTGTGACTCAGAGCACGCTCCCATCTCGAGAACGACATTGGGGCCCGGGGAACATGGACAATTGCGTATCTGCGTGACCATTTGCGGCTCACACGCACACACAAACGCCCACACACACAACACAAACAGCTCCTGTGGTTACTTTGGGCTGCAGTCGGCTCCGCCGAAAGGCTTGCGGTAAAGCAGCAACACTGCACAGGCGATCCGTAACTGGATGTTTGCAAGCTCTCAGGCTTTGCGCTTTGTCCTGGCAAGGACACACAATCAAAAAACTCATCCTTCACTCATTCACAACAAAACGGGCACTGAGTGGACAAAATGAGTGCCTGTGTTGCTGTCCACGGACTAGGCTGTCTTGGCCAGCGCATCTGTGAGAACCAAATCGGCGACGAGGACTGCAAAGCAGTCCCACATCGCCAACCTGGTGCTGAAGGATGCGCAGACGCATGCGCTTGGTGTTTTCTGTGTGACTACTAGCATGCTCCCATGTCGAGAACGACATAGGGGACGCCGGGCCAGTTGGCTCCGGAAGCAAGCTGGCTTCACGAAAAAACCCGGCGGAGGGTGGCTCCCGATTCTAAGAAAATTGTACAGGCACGGCACTCGCATGCGTCAGATCATTGTTGCAAGCATGCAATCTCGTTGGCCATCACGCAGAGCGTTGGGCAACATGGGAGTGTCGGAGTGCCCAGGTGTCATATTATGGGGCAAACCTGCTACGGTCTCTTTGGTTGCACTTTTCAAGCAACCCCAACAAACAGGCACCCTCAAACACAAAAAAGACGCATGTGTTGCTGTGTGGCGAAATTGTCACATAAGCCGCTTGTTTCTCTCCTGGGAGATTCCAGATATGGGGGTTTCGCTCATAAAACAGGCCCGTAAAAGTGGTTGGTTTCCCCTGGCGTCCCTTTAGCACCAACCTAAAGGGTAACTCAAAAAGAGCACATCTATACTCAATGAAGGAAGTGCCAGCAGAAGGGAACAGGCCCTTGATCCAAAACGCAATCGCATATAAAAAAAAATCCAGCCGACGCGGCGAATGAACGGATGTCGTGAAAATCATCTTTACTTCGGACGAGGAGGAAGTCCGGAACTCCAATCACAGGAATCACCCGAAATAGATCATTCCCAGCCGCTAAACTTGCGGTGGGTAGGGGGCTTCGGTTTTGACTAACTCGGTTTCTCGGTTGCTTTTGGATTTGCTAACCTCAAGGTTTCCTTTTAATCCAACACGCGCATCTTGCTTGGGAAGTAGGACTTGGCCTTTTCAGGCTGGGTCCAACGGGAACCCCACCGGTCGAATTGGAGACGGCTCCACTGAAGAATGTGACTCGTCGTGATCATGGACAAGCAAAATGGGTATATGACAAAATAGGGCACCACCAAAAACCGTAGCTTTCTTTTTGGTTTCCTCTTTGCCAACCCCAAAAAGGGTACCGCCAAAAACAGACACACACACACAATGGGAGTTTGTCACAAACAAAGGACACTTAAAATGAGAACGATTATCACACAAGAGGCTTCTGAATTCCCACTGCTGAGCGCGAAAGGAATCAATTCACGGTCTCCTCTGAACCCCAGCGAAATTCAACAGTTTGCTTCTGAAAAGTTTGGAGGTTGGATTTAGAGGAAGTCAATCCGCAATGAGCACTGGGCTGACGTGTGTCCACACTTGGTTCCCTCATACACATCTTGGCCCAACCCTGACTTTAAGGACCCCTTGACGAGTTGTTTAGGCCCAACAAAAAGTAAAGGCGCAGCTAATACGGGCCCCTCCTGTGACTCCGGCAGGGTTTGCCGCTTCCTGGTTGCGCAAGCATTTTGGGTCCCACGGTCCCTTGAGTGTCTTTAAACTCAGACTCCCAAAGGGTTTGGAGACAACACGTCGCATTGGTTTCTTCCTCAAAAGACTTGCTGCGGCAGTCAAGGTGCGCAAGGCCGACAATGGCCCACACACACAGCAAATGCCAAAGAAAACTTTGTCTGAGTTCGTCTGCATGGTCGTGCCATGAAATTTCGGCAGGAGGACACTTCTCCTCATCAACGTTGGGGTCCAAAAGAAAGAAGACAAGATCGTTCTCAGCGGCCGCGATTGACTTTAATTTGAGTCAGATTGCTTCCTCAAAACGTCGAGCCACAATAGTGCACAAACCTGCCACAATCCGTCTGAAAGCTCACAAAGCTTTGTGTCCTGGAAAGTCGAGCGACTTATCTTTACCTGAGTGCCACTGGGTGGGTGTAAGCTATCTTGGGCAGCACATCTGTAGGAATGAAATTGGCGACCGCGGGCAGCACATCCTGAGCAAAAGCACGGACACCAAGGAACCAAATTTTACAGCTCGGGCAGCGTATCTGTGAGCACGAGACTGGCACAAATTGATTCCAATCGTTGCCAAGCTGGTGCTCAAAGATGCGCTGCATCCGCTTACTTCTCGTGTTCGCCGCGTGGCCTGCGGGCGCGCCCATCTTGAGAATACATAGGGGACGCCAGGGCGAATTGGCTCCGCGTCACCGATCTGGTTCTGGAAGATTGACAGTTTTGTACATGGCTTTCGACTCACCTGGAGGCAGGTTCCTGTGGGCACATCCCAATTTATCAAAGTCAGTCATCACCGCCGGAAAGGACACTGGGCAAAACGTCACGCACACAATATCTATGCAAGGACACACAGTCAACAAACTCATCCTTCACTGGCCAGCCTTCACAACAACTTGGCCACTGATTGGACAAAATGAGCGCCCGTGTTGCTGTCCACGGTCTAAGCTGTCTTGGCCAGCGCATCCGTGAGAACCGATCGGAGACGAGGGCTGCGCAGCAGTCCCACGTCGCCAACCTGGTGTTCAAGGATGCGCAGCTGCAAGCGCGTCGTGTTTTCTGTGTGACTCAGAGCAGGCTCCCATCTCGAACATTGGGGACGCCGATGTAAAGTTGACCGTGGGCACTGAGGGGACAAACTGAGTGCCCGTGTTGCTGTCCACAGTCTAAGCTGTCTTGGCCAGCGCATCCGTGAGAACCGATCGGCGACGAGGGTTAAACAGCCATACAAGGGAACAGGGATGCCTAACTCTATAGACGCTGACGGCTGGAGCACGGCAACATAGCCCAGGATAAACTCGGGTACAGCTCTCATGTTCAGAGGCCGACAGCCCTACTTACCCGTAGGCAAGGCCAGTTTGAGGCTGAAGTGCGAGCGGAAAGTGCCCTTATTTACATCGCAAAAGCCGAAAGCAATGTTCCGAACATGTGAGTGTGCCTTCAATAGACCTCATTGTTGAGTGGGAGGAACAAAGGTAACCCATAGCAACCCATCTGTTCTACTATTCCCAGGGATCATACTGCAAATGTGTACCAAGATTCCCAGCTATCCCAGGATTTAGCAAAGCAAACGCAGGTCGGCTTCACGCCATTCATCAAGCGGTGCGGAGGTCCCCTCAAAACTTGACACATCCACATTCGCGGTTCTCAAGGGGGCTTCGCCCTTACCAAGGAGTTCTTGCCAGAAGGGCCCTGCGGACCCCGGTTCGGCTTCAGGAAAAGCGGGCGACATTAGAAAGGCTTGCTTCCGACCTTGCACACACACACACACATTTCCCATGTCTATCATTCTATCCCACGGTTCTCTGGTTGATTCCCATGACCACAACTGTCACCGAGAATGTTGCCCAGCACCAAATTGTTGACAACAATGCTGCAGAACCGGAGAGGTTATGAACGTTTGTATATCTCCCGGTTAGGCGTACTCCACCCATTCATTTCAGGCTCCCAACAGAACCAAACAACTTGAGCCCTTGGGGGCCGTGCTAATACATACTGTGCACAAAAATTAATATACAGCCCATATTCCTTGTTGTGGGTTGATACCCCCAGTTGAAAGCGAATTTGCAGTGGCAAACGCTTCGAGGGGCACTGGTCGTTTCCCTTCAGGTAGGGAAATGTTTCTAAAGCTGTCAACCACCACCTCACTTTCACTTCGAACGAGTCAAAGCTCGAGTGACCGAAGGCGTTCGAAACTGGGAGGACGACCTCTTAACCTTGGCAAGACTTCGAGCCGGTGCAGAAAAACAACTCACTTTTGACGCTCGATGGTTGGACATGATGGAAGCCCAACATTGAATGGACCTTCCGCCGAGCAAACAAACTAAGTTCAGTGAAACATCAAACAGCTTCATACAACTCGGGGCTAAGAACCCACCAACGCGACACCTGCAACCAATCGCCAGTATGGCAGGGTCCATGACTCTGTCATATGAAACCGCCAGAATGGGACCTGTTGTGCCGTTGGTTTCCAACATATTACACGGATCACCAATATACCTCCTTTTGTGGTTTTCGGTACAGGAATTTGAAGTTTTGGCGTATTCAGGCCACAACTCCCAAAAACGATCTTCCGTTCTCCACCGAATATAGCGCTTCCAGGTTGTGTCGTATTCCTGTTAATTAGCCCCTCACCAATGGTTGACCCCTGCTTCACAATCACAGAACAAAACTCAGGGATGAAACATCTAGGGCACAAATCAGGGTTCACAATCCATGACTTTTTTTGAAGATCACCAACAAACTCCAACCACTGAAGAAGCACACCCACATCAACATTGCCCTCTTGTCTCCATATCTGGACACATGGCTGTCTAGGGCTAGCTTCCCTTCACCATGCCTTCGCACCCATTGGGCTCGTCTTTGACCCTGGCAACAAATTGAACTTTGTGCCAGGTTGCAAGTTGTCATTTCCCAAGCATGCCATGTGTTTTGCAGACCAAAGCAAAAAGCAAGCAAGAATACATCTCATACAGGCCACTCCTCGTCCTGGAATTACCCTCACATTTGCCATGTACATAGGTTCCTTTTGGCAATTGTGTGCCACTCACAGGGCCATATACTGCCATAAAAACATGATGATATGTTGAGCTCAAGCCTACAAATATCCAATCCGGTTCTTAATGGTTATTTTACCAGCGGATGGGTTCATGGCTTTCAACTCGGTTTCGAACAAGCCGCTCGCCGCCTCTTGTGCCCAAAGTCACCGAAGCTCGAGGAGGGTCCTGGCAAAAGTTGGACGCCGAAACAAGCCGGGGCTGGGACTTTGTATGATCCGCTTTAGAACCTAGATCGCACTGTTGACCAACTTGGGAAGCTGGACTCCCCAGGTCAACAAACACATCTTCAAAAGACTTCGGTATTGGGGGATGTCTCCGGCAGAATGCCCACGCCACTGAACATACACTTCGACAGGTTCTTTGCCTTTTCACTCGCAGTATTCCTTAGTTCTTGCACCCCCCCCCCCCCCACGCGAACTTAGCAATGCCCAGGGTCCGACGCGTTCCGCCCAAAAGCATTCCATCGGGTGGCCCAAGGTGCCATGGATCAACGGGGGTTAGCAAACTTGGCTCCCAACGCATTGGTACCGGTATTGTATATATATATATATGGTCAGGCCGCCCCCCCATGAACTACCTTTCCTTATTTATTCATAAAATGACTGCAAAAAACACTGTGTTTTCCATAGTGTATCGCTCTCTCGACCATAAACACAACAAACATGACAAACACATATTTTGTGTTGAACAAATATGTAAATTTATTGGGCAAACTGTGGGACTTCTTTGGGTACACTTCGGACAACAGTTCATCCTTCATCATTTTCTGATAACCAAATAATGACAGGAATCCGGCACACATTTTCCTGGTAGCCTCCAAGATAGAACCCACAAAAGGGTCTGAGGGACCGGCCCCATTCAGTTGTTTCCTCATGTTTGGATGGCGCGACAGCTCGAGTCTTCGATGGAAGGCTCCTGTCTCGAAAAAGGCCGCCAGCTCGTGGCGCGACAACTTGGGCCTCGGGACCCGGATCCGCCATCCGCAATCCCGCCACGAAGTGAGTCGGTCCCTTTTTGGGTGTGTTTTTAGACCCAACATACTTTGGTTTTCCCTTTAAACACCAGGAAAAAGCGGGGTGCCCCCAGAAAAGCGGGACCCAAATGGAAAGGGCGGTCAAAGCATTCCCAGCCCCAAGGTGGAAAGTAGGGACTGGCTTGTATCAAGAAAACCGCAGGTGAGCAATTGGGCAAACATGTTGCTTGTTCTGTCTAATGCAGAATACACGCTTGAGCTATCAACCGATAGGAAAGATCGAGTCCCACTTTTGTCGCGTACCCAAGGGTTCAACGTCACGGTATCCCCAGTCAGCTTCCACAAATGCAAAGGGGCCTATGGTTTATGTCAATGTGTGACTCCTACCCTCCCCCCCTCCCATGACCGATCCCCCCTTTCCTGGTTTCCTTTAAGCAAATAAGGCATAAGTTTGTTTCTAGGGGCACCCCCAAAATAGCTTTGGTTTTCCTTTGTTGGTCTTCCTTCAAAACCAACTAAAGCGGGTACCCAGAGAAAAAGAGACGCACCCAAAATTGGATTCATGGAATCCTCGCCTTGCACAGGTCTCCAACGCAATCCAGCTGAGCCATCCACGCCTTCAGGCGCATGCCAAGGGCTCTGTGGGATCTCCACAAAACACACATGATCACCAAAGGTGTAAAAGTCAAATCTAGAACCATTCAAAGGGCTCCAGACTGGGAGGAACTGGATGCTGTTCATGCCTCCAAGAAGTATGGTGAAAGGCTGGGTACAGCAGTCAGCTGAGATTTGGAAGCCTGCGACAGGATCCCGTGACCCGCACGACACGCCCCATCAGATCCATGCTGTTTGCTCTCCCCCTTGGACGACTTCTGGGTCATCTTTGACGCATCCAGCATTCCTTGGACCAGTGCATCCCAAACCAGCAAGAGGATGACTTTGTCCAGCACCAATCAAGGGCCAGTGGAGTGCACCTTCTGTCGCCGATTTTGGCGCTGGGGAAACGGCCTTACGACGCCGCATGACACGCTTTATACCGGTTGGATCAGCCCAAGCCTCCAGTGGATTTCCCAGGACGAAACGAAAAAACACCCGTTTGTTGGCTGTGTGAGGACAACTTAGGAGGGGAGCCATGGAAAGATCATACGTCGTACGTCATGAGTCATGACCCTTACCTGTGCTTGATGGCCCCATGCGAAGTCAACCCTGAGCCAAACCTTGTAGAAGCTATATCCTGGTTGCATTTGAACTAATCTTGCGCCGGCCATGTACAAATCAGCATCCCCGCTCCTCAAATCCGCCCCACCCCAACCCAACCCCAACCCACTCACCGCACCTGGGCAATGGGAGATCCAGCAGACCCTCGGCACCTGAGCTACTGAGCCGGACGAATTTCCAGTCGGCCAGTTGCCAGCGCCATGAAGGGAAACAACAACTGGCGATGCAGGTGGGCCCCTTTCGGGGACACAGAGTCTGGGCAAAGTACTTAAATTCTCAAACGCACACATACACGCATACCCGCGCACATTCAACAGGAAATCCCCAAGAAAGAAACCTTCATCCGGGGAACTTCCGCCGAAAACCTAATTCTGTTGAAACTTGTGAGGTTGCTGGTCCTTGGATGGTCAACCATGCTGCAGCAACCTTCGCCCACTTGAAATTGCTACACCGAAAGGATTTTGTTCAATCAGTTTGCACTTCCAATACTGAAAGGAATCAACGCCGGAATGGCGGCTGCAAGGTTTCAGCTGGTTTTCTGATGGCTGAAGCGCCCCCTCGACCGTCAAAGGCGCGCATCAACCCGTATGCACATCTAGGGGTTTGAGGGTATATCCTTTCCATGCGTTGGGACTCTGGGGAATCGGGGTTGAGAGAAAGAGTCAAGCAAACAGAGCATGCGTGCGAATACGTCTCATCAAATAGACATAGCATAGCACTCCGCACTAACCAGTATGACCTAGACCTCTAATGGTAAACGGAACGAGTGTGTCGTTTTGTAGAGAAGCCTTTTAGTTGGTTGGTTTTAAAGGTTGCCAAACAGACAACCACCATTTTGGGCTTTTGACTGAGGCTTGCGCTGTGCCACGCTCTGGGCATCGCTTGGTGCGGCCGCGGAATGTCGCGTGCGCGCCAAATCAGACAGCTCAGCACATGGCGTGGGTCCGAATCCGACGGAGTCTTGGAATGGGCTCCTGGAGTTGTTTCTGGCCTTCCGAGTGGATAAGACGTAGCCAACATTTCAAGTCAGCTGTGAAGGCCCAGTGAAGTTCTGTCCTTGACACATCCGAAGGACCTGAACATAATCAGGTTTTCTGCAAAGATATATGTAAGCTGCCCGGAAAACTCTGGTTAGGTAGTGTCCAACATGACATCATGCAATGATCTGCAACGCGTGTGTACGTGAGAGATTCTAGCACTTGGCCGGGCTGTTTGATTCTCACACATTCCCTAATGCCATGAATTCAGAGCTCTGGCAAATCTTTCCGGTGAAGCGAAGTGATTGACTGGGTGCTAAGAATATAGGGGGTCAGACTAGACAATCAAACATAGCCATCCCCTGTTGGTTTCCTTGGGGGGCTTGAAACACCACGACCTTCAAGTGTCGCACACGTGGTCTGGACGTCATTTGCCGTCACACCACGTATTCCTCAGGCACATCCTTGAGCCCCAAAATCAATTGTCGACAGGACACTGGAAAAAACGCAGGTTGATCATTGAGAAGCATGACTAAAAACACACCTGGAAACCAAAACCATCAACCAATTTACGACTTGGGAACTGACAAAGGTGACGCTGAGTGCTTTCTGCCTAAAACGAGGGTCCGAAGGGAACTGGCACAATAACAACTTCTCGAAAGTGAACAGAAGCAAGCAAGTCTCATCACAACACCCTGACGCACCCCCCGTGCCCGGTCATTGATTGGGCGTGCTTTTTGCACGGGGATTCCCATTGACACCGAAAACACTCACTCGGCCCAAAGAGTGGCCGATGGCAGAGGAAGCGGCAAGTTCGCGGGTGAAGATAGGCTTTGAATTGTATCGCAAAGCCGAAACATGAATAAGGAATCTGCCAGTATAGGACCTACATCATGAACCCAGCTGTTTGGTGACCCTGGTAGAAAAAGGGACATCTTTGGGGGGGTTGACGAACCTTTTGGGGGACTCGGATACAGCAGTCAGATTGCATCTGCAAGGAAATGGCAGTTCACTTTTCCGCGCCTACTTTTCTGCGCACGAAACTGAGCTGTAAGGCTCCAGCTGAAACATGGCGAATCCACGCGTAGTCCAAGTCGGTAGCTTGCCCCAAAGGTTGCCGAGGGAAACGTGTGGGACAAATCGAACACCATATCACTCATCCATACCCCATGGCCTTTGCTTTGGAAAATGATCAGCCTTTGGCTTAGACTATCTGGAAACCAAACCCACTATGCCTTATGTATTCCGGCCATTGCGAAATTTACAGCAGCACTCTTCGGGACATCGCCGACCCTTCGACGGCGCTTCGAGCGCGCGGCTCACTTGCCACAGGCCATGGAAATAAGGCATGCCACAATCTTAGCTGCCAGTCCAATCCCCACCAGTCACGGTTCGCAAGGAATCTGAGGAAATCTCAAAAGGGTTTGAGAAGCTTTCGGTAGGGTACGGGGCCCTTATGTCTCTCCTCATTTCTGTGTGGATCAGCTGGGCAGAAATGCCCAATGTGTGTGTGTGTGTGTGTGTGTGTGTGTGTGTGTGTGTGTGTGTGTGTGTGTGTGTGTGTGTGTGTGTGTGTGTGTGTGTGTGTGTGTGTGTGTGTGTGTGTGTGTGTGTGTGTGTGTGTGTGCGTGACCAGAATGAGACGCCCAAGCGGTATCAAGTCCCAAACACTTAGGAAGCTCCTTTTGTCGGTCGTTCGGCCCGAAATCCCAAAAGGGGGCCGCTCTACGGGAAAGGCCCTATAAATGACTGTGGCCCGTGAGCCCCCTCTTTACAGATGATTCTCGAAAAACCGAGTTCTGATCCCTTGCGCCATTTTTGCACCCTGCACTCATTTTGGGATGGGGGCCCCAATAAAGATCCATGGCAGAAACCTCTTCCTCAGTTGGACCAGTTGCCCTATGGGGCAGGCGTCGCAATCTCAGACTGATCCACTTCGCAGAAGCAAGTTTGTGGTGGCTCGACTCCACCCTGGTCCATTGTTGCGTGTGTGTTTTGGCTCACATCATTTTACTTCAAGGGACATGGAAATAGGGTACAACGTAAACGCACTTCCGAAAAGCCATGACCCCAATTAGAATGTTTGTCCTAACGCTTTTGGTTGCCAGGCAGCCCACACGGTGGTCATCGTCACCGGCGCTGGCACTTGACAGAGCCAAAGCATGAACCTGCGAAGGCCAAAGGAGGGTTACTAGGCCGTGTGATTCCATTCCCTGGTTTTGTAGGGAACCAAGGGAACCAGCCTTTAAAGACCAAGATGAACATGGTTGCCTACGGAGGCAACTGGGTTAAATTGAGGGCTCATAGCCTCAAAAATCATCCGTTATCTAGGGGAATCTCTTGGGGTGCCTTCTTGCTTGGTTCTCCAGTACTTTTCCGGGGAATAATTTAAGGGGCTAAACAAGTACACACAGCGTTGCTCGGCGATCGTGACCAAATCTTTGGATTCTATGTGCACCAACATGCCATTCTGATCATTCAGCCTCTTTTTTAACCCTCGCTCCAACAATCATGGAAATGGACAGGGGGCTTCCGCAAAGAAGTAGAAATCCAACACCCTCGCCTCGTCGGCTGCCATGCTCGGATAAAAAGTACCAACTGCACTTTCGTTGTACGCCGCGGCTGATCCAAGCCTGCCAGCATGTTGAACTCTCTAGCGAGAACGGCGCCCCAATGTGCACTGACATCTCCGCTCATCGCCACTAGGGCATTCTGATATTGGAGCCATACACGGGGCCACAACCCCACGTGGCAGACGTCTGTGTCATTTGTCAGCACCGTGGCGCCAGGGTCTGTCAAAGACTTTTCCGCAGCATATGCTGCGTATAGGCAACTGACCAATGCACTGACAGCGAGCCTTTTGGGGGGTCGAAGGCTGTGAGAGACACATGCAGCGTGGAGTCATGCAAGGACAGATTCCTTCGCTAACAAAGCAAGGATCCTGGTCAAATTGCACGACTGTTTGCGGTCAACCTGAATTTGCCAAATGGAATCAAGCACGACTAATCCCCCCAGTGAAAAAACATATTATGAGGGTTCCTGTGTCTGTGGTTGGAGCCTCGATTAAGGACTGGATTGACATAAGTTGCTTACATTGAACATGGGGATGTATGTCCAGCAAACATGTTTGAGGGTGTTCTACTTCAAGTTTCATAGCATTGGTTCCCCTTAAGACTTCACTCAATCAAAGGGAAGACACTTCATGTGGATAGTACAAGAGAGAAACAACAACAAGGACTCCGTTCCTGAGTGGATTGGCCAAACAATCTCAAACAGTGTAAAGTTCAGGAACACAGGGAGTGAGAGAAGCCCTGAATATTCTCTCTTCTGCCGTTACAGTGAAATGCTGCAGATTCACAACGAATAGCATCCCTAAAACGCGGCATGTTGCGACAAACTGATTTTCCTTGCTCCCAGATTCTGAACCCGGCACAGCAGCAGAAAACTTCGGGTCCGTCGAAGTTAACGGTTGGAAGGTGCAAGGAATCCCTGAAAAGAGGCTTTGTTCATGTCTTGTTTCGGGTTTCGCAGAATGAAGGGTGGCAGAAAGATGGGCGTCATACGTGTTGCGTCCTTTTGCTTTGTTGTCTCTGTCGCCCTCCCACATCGCCGAGGGAGATCAATTTACATTGACCCAAACAAACAGGTAAACCCTTTAACACCCTTTAAACCCTCCATGTGGAACCGTTTAAATGGCTCCCTTGGTACAAAGGGCGTTAGCCGGAGAGGGCCCCAATTTTATGCCTTGCACCACTGCCCGGAAGAAAGACGCCTGCGGACCGGGGACTTCTGCAGCGCTTGCAGGTGCGCCAGTGAGGACTGAAGGCCTCGTGTGGACAAAGTTTTCTTGCATCCAGTTGCCATTGTTAGCTTGGCGGCCTCACCCCTAGTTTAAACATGATTGAATAAACTTTGAAACCGGCCTTTGTTTGGTTCCCGCGGAGTCGGTCTGGCTGATCTTGCTTTGCCTGACGGTGACCCGGACGGAGAGCGGGGTTTGGTGTCACTAGACAGTTGGGCCCTGGGAAAGGCACACAGACATCCCCATGGAGGTTTGGAGCAATGGATCATTTGTAGTAGACTCACAAAACGGGACGACCTTGACAAAGCTCGCGCCTCGTTTGACTTCTGCAAACCAACCACAAACAGGAGCACTACATGTCACAAACACCAGATACAACAAGCACAACAACAATGATTATGCCCCTTCACCCCTGGATTGGCCTGCACGCACTCTCTGGAGTCTCTCCTGGCCGGCATGGTTGACTGACTTGTCAACAGGCATCGCCCCAGAAGGACCCCAAAACGCGGTGAATCCCAGAAACGAGCTCATATCCGAGAAATGGATGTTTCTTGGAGGCTCCATGTAATATTCTAAAACAAACAGCTTCCCGGTCACGCAAGTTGTGGCTTTTTCACGGGTCTGTTGGCTCAGAAGCGCTAAGACGCTAAGAAAGGAATCCACGAGACCTGAACATGCGCAAATAGAGTAACTGGACGTCGAGGCGTCCACAGCTGTAAATGTGTTGGGAGCTGTACCACCATTCGAACTATGCTGGTTGACACTGCCTGCGAAACCGACTTTCCGAGGCCCTCAACTGGCTTCAGCTCTACCGGGTATGCCACCTTTGCGTGGCTTAGGTTGAGAAAAATCCCAAGGCCCTCAACCTCCAAAGCTTCGCAGAACCTTCGGGTTCTGATTGAAGGCTTCTGAGAACCGTTCTGGGAAGGGAGATCCTGAAAGACCTGATGGCTGTTTGCTGCTACGTTCTTGGTGCGACCAAATCAGCAAGTGTTCCTGCGGAGAAGCATCTCCTTGGCACGGACATTCGCAACTTGGTCAAACCATGGCTGCTCAAGTGACCTGCACAAATGCGCCGCTTGTTTCCCGCAGCGATGAGTGCCGATGTTGTTTGCGCTCTTGTGTTCCTCACCCGCAAAGTGCGATTGTGTTGAACCTTCAACTCACTGAAACAAGCAAAGATGTTGGCGACCATTCTCCGGACGCCTCGACGTCTCTTTGTTCGACCAATGTTGGGACAAGCATAAATGTTCGTCGTGATCCTATAGTGAACAAAGCAGCTGCTAGCGAAACACACAGCACTCTATCGGCATCTGCTGCTGCTGCTGCTGCTGCTGCTACTTCTGCTGTTGCTGCTGTTCAGGCTCGCTTGCGCGAATCACCTGAAGGCGCGATTCGGGTAAATATGGCTCCACACCAAGGAATGCAGATTGAAACCACAGCCTCTTCAGTGCGCTCACCAGATTCTGAAGAAGTCTACCAAGACTATGTACAGACTGACCATAGATGGGACATCCTCTCATATTCATTAAGTTGCCTAGTAGCGGGTCTAGAAAAAGACACGACTTTATCCATCCCCTTTTAGATTCCTTTTGAAACACCTTACCAGTTACGGGCCAGCTTGCCCCCAGTTCCACATGGCTCCGGGAACCTGACAAACGGGAAAATCGCCGGAGCGGCGCGAAGTGGACGCGCGGCTTGTTTCGACCAACTTGATGGGCCCCCAAACCGAAAGGTGAGCTGGACTTTTCTTGACGCGCCACTGATGAGCCCACGTCTCTTACGACAATAGTGGGTTGACCCCTCAAATGGGCCACTAACGACCCCACGCCTCTTATCGCATGACACACAGGTTTGGGGTGGGTTGGCAAAGCCCGGGTGTCCAAAAGCCCAGGCCTGGGGGTCTTCGGCCGCCAGCACCTCCGCACGCAGCTCCGGGGCGAGGCCCAGAGGCGGCAAGGGGTTGATCAGCGCAGCCTCGGAGTCAAGGGCGAAGAGTGGGGTTCTGGATTTGTTTGAATGATGGCTGTGGCTCAAAAAAAGTGGTACCAACATGGCACCCTGGTTAGTGGAACCAAAGACTAACACCCGCGTAACCCGGCTCTTTAATTTTGAGCCATACCCTGGTGTGTCTGCGTGTCTTGGAATTCCCGCGTTTTAGATTGGCTTGTAATTCTGGAATTGTTTGAATTCTGGATTTGTGTGTGTGTGTCTGTGTGTCATGGATTTCCAGGGGTTTAGATGGGATTGCAGGGTTTTGGAGTTGCGGGGTTTGGATGTGCATGGCTGTTGGAGTTGGTACCCCTTTCGGGTTGGCTTGGGACACTGGATGGAAAGACCGACAGCCATGTTCATGAGGGGCACAACGGACGGAACCTTCCAAATTTCCCCTGGTGACCTATAGAAACTAATCAGGGCGCATTTCTACATGAGTACTATCTGAAAATATCTTAAAATTGTGGGACCTCCAGAAAGGTTGGTTTCCTTTTGGCTTTCTCAAAAACCAAAAAGGGGGTTCCCCAAAAAGAGACACCTCTCTGGCTGTGGCTGAAAAAATAGTGGCCCAAAATGGAACAAACCCAGACACCGACCCCCGCGCAAACCGACTGAGCCCGACGCCGCCCAAAGCGCCAGCTTCCCCGGCTGGCTGCAGGGGGGCCTTGGGCCCAGCTCCTGGGGACGACCCAAGGAGCCTTTGCCGGGGCCAACTCTTGGTTTCAACATGTTACAGCACTTTGAACAACCTCTAAGAACCCCTTTTGTTTTTTTTCCTAGAGGGGCAATGGTAGTCTGGTCAAACTTGGTCTCTTGGGAGGCACTGATGGGGCAACCACTCTCCCGCAAACATGAAAGTTGAGCTTTGAAAATACAGTGGTCAACTAGGGACCGTCTGTCAGAATCCTTCCGTTCATTCAAAGGCAGCTTGTATACATTATATAATGAGCCCGTGCCCATGCTGGACCTCTGTGAGTGCTGGATTCCCACAATCAAGCCACAACCAGTTAGTCAACAAGTAGTTCACCAATAAAACAGTGGCTTCAAGGCTTCAACATGCGAAGAAATCACCTCAGCCCTGTCGCCCAGTGACCCCAGTAGAAAAAGGAAATCCGGTAGAGAGGAAGTGGGATTCCGCTGAACAGCTAGGTACCCTGAGATGGTCGGAAATCCCCTCAAAAGCTGTCAATTTTGAGGGATGACTCAAATAACAGTCCATGATGCTGGGCTGGTCCTTGACTCTTTGCAACTGTATGTTTAGGACCAGTTAAATTTTCAACCAAAGCACACATAGCTAACTGGTACGTAAGTGCGTCTCAGCGCCGCTTTAGGCCTCCGATTCAAGAGGCACCGCAGGAATGCATTAACAAAAAAGAGGCCCCCTCTACATCAAGGACAGGATGGGGAAGCACCGCTCAAAGGGCCAGGCCATTTGAAGGGGCCTGACGAACGCGTGGTACCTTGTTGTGTTTTTGTTTCGGGAAACTAAAAGGAAAACCGAAGCCAGTTTGGGGGTCACCCCAGAAAAAAGACATCCAACTAGATGACCCCCTTCTGGTTTATATCACCTGTTTGAGCCAACAACATTGCTGAAACGGGAAGCACCGGATTGCCCCGGGCCAGCAATCCAGTCTTACCTGCGCGGCCATGGGACAAATACGTGACTTTGAAAGGGAATCAACACTCAACACATGGAAACTTTTGAGTGCCGCTGTGCTCTATGTTCATATTCCAACGAACAAAGTCTCATACCTGATTAGTCCCAAGAGAAAGCGCGGGAACGGGCAAAATAAACGTGGCGCGGCTTCTCCTGCAGAATGGAGCTCAGTCGTCGATCTTTCACCAAGCCCTGGCCGCGAAATCTGACACTCAGACCTGAAATAGAATTCCAACTGCCTACTTCCAGGTTGTGGTTTCCCTTGGCAGCAACTGGATCCCGATATATCAATCGAGGCACACGTGGGCAAATTGCAGGTATGGTTTTCCAGTAACTTGGGGCACCTTCCCAACGGTTCCCGAAACCTAGTGCGAACCACTGGTTAACGGCTTAACTAACCAGTGGTTTCTTTATGTTCCCCTTTTGAAGGAGGCTTCCCCTTAAACATGGGCATTCACCCCATCATATAACTTTGAGGCAGCTCAGGTAAACTGCAGGTAAATGTTATTCGGTATTGATTGGTAGTAGGCATGGCTTCTGACAAACTTCATACATTTCATACCACCAATCCCTCCTCATCCTGTCCCCGGAGAAAACAAACACCTTCTATTGGCTGCTTGATTTTACGGAAACACCTCCTCATAAACAGGGAAAACTGAACACACTTGAGGTCTGTGCACTGGGTCCGAAAAGCCTCTAAATGGGGATCTTCAATCTTCAGGGAAACCACACCCAAAATACATGTTGCCAACAATTCAAAATGCGACAACTTGGGTGTCTCGTTTGTTCTTCTTCTTTTTCGGGATTCCACAAAACGATGGTTTTCCTGTTTGCGTTTTTTCTCTAAACCAACAAACAAGAGGTACAGACCAAAAAAGAACACCCCCGCTGTCAGGATCCGAGGGGAAAGCCCCAAAGCCGGCGCCTGCCATTCCTCCAGCTCCGGAAGCATTTCCTCGGCTGCCGAAACGTCCTCCGCGCGGACGTCCATGCCGGCGTCGGCGTCGGCGTCCGCACCTGGCGGGCAAAAGCGCCAACCACGAAACGAGTTCTGCGTCTATAGACCCAGTGGATCCCAGTTGCCCAACAAGCAAATTCCAAAGGGCAGAGCTTCGCCATGTTCCTGTTGTTTTGCAAAGGGGTGTTGTTCTCTTGGTTGTATACGTATGCAGGGAAACATGTGGAGATTCTCTGAATTGTTTTGAGAGTGGGTTTCCTTAAACCGCCATTTGGAGGGTAACTTGATTAACACAAACATGTTTGCCGGTTCTGAATATATCTTTGGCGGTTGGCTCCCTTAAGATGACCATTTAGAGGGTACTGTTGCACATGTTGCTTCCATGAACCCAGTGGCAAGGATGGGTGAAAGACCTCAGGGGCACAAGAGCCGGGTGCAGGACGCGGAGCTGAGTCCCCGGGATTCATGTTCGAAGGCCAGGGTGTCTCAATATGAGCCGAGTGGCCTCTAGTTTCCTTTTTAAAGGGTCACACAAGAATGCCAAAAAGCCGTCCCCTTCTCGAACCAGCCAAGGCACATGTGGGTTTGGCTCAGAATGGTGGGCTCCCTTTAAAACAGCCAAAAGAACAGTATATGCCCTGGTTTGGCCTTCCATGTTGTGGGTTCTCCATGCTCTTTGTTTTATTTGGCCGTTTTTGGGACGGATTGTCTGCGTGTCCCACTCGTCAACCAATGACAGTGGTTCCGGCTATGATTTGGCAGTCCATAATGGCGGCATCAAGAACTAAGGGTCTTGGCCACAGCCGCACGCCATTTTGTTGGACGGCATCCTTTGCGTACTTATCTTCAAATAGAAAGCCCGGGTTGAGGTCAAACTGGCCTCGCCAACAGTGACTCACTTGTTGTTGTTTTGCTAGCACGCGTGGAAAACAATCGATTTCCCTACAAAGTTAGTTTGAAGGTTGCTTCGGTCGAGTAAAGAGCAACCATAGTTGAGAATTGCATAGTGCCTTTGTTTGAAGGACGCTCCCTTGATCCTTGGATACTTACATAGCTGTCAACAAACTCGGGTCCGTTCAAGCTCCTTGTCTTCCATGTGCGGCTTCGATGTCAAAGATGCGAAACATGTTCCAAGTGGCAGCCCTTAACCTTCAGATATCTTCAGCATCTTTGGAAGCTTGCGTGTGTGTGCTTGGTTGATGTTGACCCCCCTGCAAAAAGTTTAACTTTTTGGAGGTTTAGTGGAAAACCCGTTGATTTTTCAAAGGTTCAAGTCTAAAGATCCAACCCGATAGCAGTCAAGTGTGTTTGACTGTAGCATGTTGAGACGTGGCAACGGTTGGGTTGACTGCCTCGGGACTCATCAAGGTAGGCGATCCGCGCCAGGAGGTAGCCGTCCGCTTGCAGCGCGGGGACCTGAGGTCCTTTTGAAGGGCCTGGTTCTGCATGAGAGAAACCCCTAGCCAATTCTTCAAGCACATGTCCAGGTGGGTTGTTAGGTGTGGAGGTAATTCTACACTGCCCTAATCACCTGTACGTAAAATATGTCCTCCGCATCTCCAAACAACCCAGAGGAGAACGGGCTGGATTCTTAGGTTGTGCTTGTCGTTATGTCCTTAAGGTGAACAGAAACCTGGAAAGCAACTCCTTCAAACAAGTCTCCCATGTCGTCAAGCCCGGCACGCATTGCTGGAGTTGATGTTCTGGCAATGAGGACTCCAGATATCACACAAGGAGTCTTTATCACAGGGCCCCAAAATTGCTTTCCGCGCAAGTGAGCTTGATGTACGTGGACTTCGCGCAACCAGCAGTTTGGCAGCGTGGAAGTAGTAGGATTTAGTAGTAGGATGTATACAGTAGGATTGGAAAGCAACGCGGGTGTCATGGCTCAACGTGTCATGACTCAACTCGGTACCCCTTCCCCTAATGGGCAAAGCATGTAGGCCTTCTTCCTCTCCGAGGAAGTTCGTTATGTTTCATGGCTATCAACATGTCAAATACACACTGGCAGTAGAAAGGCAATGTTCAAAGCACCGCAAAAGGGAGGCCATCAAAAGAACACATATATAGAACATGGCAACAAGAAGATGATGACACCTCAGGACATTGGGATGTTGGTGGGTTTTGGTTGGGGTCATCATTTCGGAACGGCTCGGGGGGGGGGGGTAAACCCTACGACCCGTTTTTTCGACCCTCCATCTAGCATAAGGACCTAAACAATTTGAATACGGTGTTAGGAAACATTGAGCCCCTGATATTACCACTCGTTTCTTGGGTCCGGACAACAGTTTGTTTGGGTCAAAAACAGAAACCGGTCCCCATTCTAGCACCGTCGCGAGTCTCGGCCTCCAAGATTTTGAAGGCGCGGGTTCCGACGATCTGCACCTGGAAGTGGCCGTTGGGGAACTGCATGCAGTCCTGACAAGCGCCAAGTGGCCCGTTGACGGGGACCCGTATGGGCTGCTCCTTTCCCCAAGCAAAAGGTCGGTCACCTTTGACAGGTTTATTGGAGCCGCCGTCTGTTTCCAAAAGGTCGTCTAGGGGGCCAAGGGAAAAACCAAAGACAAGCCATGGTTTGACGGTGAACAGGATCCTGCTTGCACCAATGACAAGCATGTGTGTGTGTGGCATCCGAAAGGAACCCATTTGATAGAGCCCATTTTTGGCCATTCAGCCAACCGGCAGAAACACAATTAGAGCCTTTGTTTTGGTTGGATAATGATTTCATGTTGGTTGCAACCCCCTTTTTAGCTGCCACGACGAGGGCAAAACAAATCCTCCAACCCCGTGCTGGCAAGCAAAATTGGCTTGCCATTTAGGGGGAGCCTAGTCTGTCAGAGTCCTCCATGACCACCTCGCAGCCATGCTGCAAGTGGCTCATGCCGCTGTTGAATCCTCGAGTTTGGCGCATAGTGGGAATATAGACTGCGCATATGTTGATGCGGATGGTGGCTTGGGTGCCAGTAGAAACCTTCGGAGAGCTTTGCCCTGTCCGGGGAACACGCTGTGATTTCATGGTTGGAAGAAAACGGAAATGGGATTGTCTGAAATCGGACTGGTCATGACTAGTCCACCAATCGGGGATCGTGATTCTCCCACTCTCAACTCTCAATCTATATGAACTGCTGGAACTGTGGAAAATCGGGTTCTTTCTGTGGTATCAGAGTGGGATTCCAATCCCCATGCCAAGCTTGTCAATTGAAAGGGTATTCACAAGGGGTATCACAGCAACTCGTCATAAGTCACATTTTCCAAAACCGTGACCCCAAGCCACAGCTTTATATTTAGCTTTGAACCAAACTGAGGTGATTGAGCAAAACAATGCAAGCCCTCGTGCTAGGGATGCCAGGCTCTGCTTCAACTCTCCTTTTGTGCACGTTTTTGCGGTTCCATGCGAGCGCCTGCAATTTGCTGGTGCGCCCAAACAGCGGGCCGGAAAATCGTTTGGCACAGAAACCCAGAAACCACATGCGCCTTTGTGGGAGCGAGATGGTTGGGCCAAAGACGAGATGCGACAATTGCATCATGATTGCAGAGATGGCAAAACATGCCTAATGATGCGTGTGTGGGTGTGTGTATTCGCACGCTAAATGTCTTCCCCTTTACAGTAAATGAACGCAAGCACTCCCCATTGCGCATATTTGTCCCTTTCAGCCAACCTGAGATTGATATCCTCAGAGCAAGAGACCCCTTTCCATTTCCTTCAAAACCACCCTAATGCAACAACATGTCCCGTTCATCTTCCCTTAAAACCACCCTAGAAATGCAAAAACAATCCACAACACATGGTTGTTTGCCTTCATGTTTCTTTATACAACTCCAAAAAGGGTGCCCTCACAATACACTGGCAGCCATGGGTCCGACCATGCCAAAGCGGCGCCCACTACTCAGGGCCAGTCGCATCAGGGCGCAGTACCTACGACCGGCATGGAAGAAACAACGCCACTGAAATGGTCCAAACCCCAAAAGTCAAAAGTCTAAGAACTCAAAGGGGAGGATACCCTCCTGCACATTAACATGCAACCACCAAAAAACCGTCATGTTTACTTGTGCATTGCTCTCTTGTGGCGTGTTTCGAAGCGAATTTGCAGGGAGTCATCCGCTCCCAACAATCAAGGAATCATGGCTTCCTGGGAGCCCTGGCCACCCAGGTCCAACAAACATGGACGCGGACAATCGGAGGCTTGCGGATGGCTTGAGGAAGACGAAAGGACTGTCCACTTCCACAATCGATGGAAACATGATACTAAGTGACCAACTCATCCAATACCAAACTTTTGCTGGATTGACAAATGGGGTTGTCCCACACATGGGTGTGTCCCACCGTCTGTGAGCAACTGGGTGACTTTGTCGCTCATGACAAGTTGGTTGAGCGAATTTGACCAAACTTTCTGGACAAGAGTTGGTCAACCAAACTCAATACCATGTATATATTGTATATATATACATATATACACATTATATGACTATGTATATTCATCAATGAATGAATAGCTGAACAAACAACTAAATCAATACCAAACAAATAACAAACAAATCAATGAATCAATCAAGAAACACATTTGCCATGTCTCTGTCATATGTGTATATAGGCGTGTCTTCTTTGTAGGATGTCCTTTTTTTCCCTCCAACAACCACACGAATAGAATAGAAACCTCCTCTGAAAAGGGCATACCCTTTTCTCGACAGCCACTATTGACCCTGAAACCAACCGTCAGCTGGTCCCTTGCTTCTGAAAAGCACATCCGTTTTTGGACTGTCCCCTTACTTCCCGAACATGTTTGTCATCAGTTCCAAGAAGAGTTTCCCCTGTATTTCCGCACAGTCTTCTATTAGTCCCCTCTATTTCTACTGTATTTCCCACAGTTGCCTGAATTTCCTCAGTTCCATACAGGACTGGCCCAAAAGAACTTCGACGCTTTGTCTCCCACTTTTCGACACAATATTGAGACTTGGCAAAGTGCTCCCGGAAGCAACGCGAGCTGCGGCCCGGGTTTCGCGGCCTGGGCTCGAAGACGTTGAGCTGCAGCCGCTGCAGCGGCAGCAGCGGCTCCAGCACGAAGAGCCCCAGCTCCGCCTTCGCAGCAGCAAGGCCGCAAGGAAGCGGATGGGCGGATGATGGGCGGAGCCAAGGAGTGGCTGTCCGTTTGGCGTGCCTTGAACCAAGGCCTCAAGCAAAACACCAAAGGGAGAATGAATAAGGAACATGAAGGAAACACAATAGAGCCTAGACCCAAAAGGCGAGGCAGTCTGGCAATCAAAAGTGCGTTGCCCTTCCCCTGCTGAACAAAAGGTCTAACCTTTTCAAGGTTTAATATGGAACACCGATTTTTCCACAAAGAAAAAAACAGGAAAAACAACAACTCAAACAAAAACAGGACGGCTAAGGTCACACGGAAAGACCAGGCAAGAAAACAGATGCCAAACCGACGACTTCGGACGCCCCAGCGCTCGGCGGCTTGGCCAACGCCTCGTTCCTGGGCACTGCCTTGGGCAGGGCCTCAGCTTCAGCGTGAGTTCGCGGCTTGCGGGCGGAAGCTCTGGACCAGTGGGTAAAACTCTCGACTCATCCCATTGAATCCCACGGAAACTGGGCGGCCCTCAGATCCCCCGCTAAAAGTTTAACTTTTAGTGGGTTGAACGGAAACTACCACTAAACACTAAAAGACTAAAAAGCTAAGGGGATGGCTGGGAGCCACCAAGGAAAAAATAGGGTAAACTCCATCATCTCTGCGTCAGGATCAGAACATAAGTAACTTTGTCATCTCCATCATCTCCAGTACTTTCGGTTTTGCAGGCCACACTTGCCAGATGCCTTTTCAGTTTTCGGTTCATCTTCCCTTCAAACCGGAAAAACATGTCGGTCTAGCTCCCTCACTTAAGCAGAGCCTGGAGAGAAGTGGAACCAAATCCTATGGGTCGCATCGCCAAGGAGCTGGCCGGAGGTCCTTAACATGTTCCGGAGAAAGCCTTCTGCCAGCTTTCATGTGGGTGGGGTACCATGTTAGCTGTTGCTTCGGTTTAACAACGGACAATAGGTCCGAACTCCAATACGCCGTTCATTTGGGTGTTGTTGTTGTGAGGCTACCCTTTTCGGATGGTTTTTTAGGGAAAGCAACGGGAGACGCAGCCATGTTGGGGGTCCATGTCCTCATTTTGACACGTTGGGTTCAAGGTGATGACGTTCTCTCAGGTTCTGGGGTGAAGAAGCCTCTTGACCCACAAGTTTGGAGCTTGGCTTCTTTCCAGGAACAAAACACAAATCCCACAGATGGTTTGTGGGTGAGAGTGTAAGATAAGGACCTGGACAATTGATGATCATTGCATGTGGCTTGCCTCACAACCCCATTCTATTTTTTGGCTCGTCATACCCTTTAAAACAAAGAGGCTCAAAGCCATCGGCTCGCGTTTCCGATACAAGCCGCAAAGGCGGCAGCTCTGCGCTCCTTGTACCTAAAAAAAGGCGAGCGCTGGAAATCTTAGGTGTGTGGATTCCTCAAAGGAATCGCTTCAAAAAAGGGAATGGTTTTGATAAAGGGAATGATTCCCACAACCCCAAATGTAGATTTCATGCTGGGAAGCGGAAGGCCAAAGGGGTGGTCCTTGGGTTTTGGAAAGAACCTTCTGATCGAGTGGGGCTCACGATTATTTTGCCAAACTTGGATAAACTTGGGAGGTGCCAATTCGTTCAGCCAGAGTGATTTTGAGAACCCAACATATTGGACGGTTGGTATCCTTTTGATTTGCCTTGAAAGCGAAACAGTTGGTTCCAATCGAGGAAGAAAAAACATGACCCGGTTCGAGGAATTACGCATTACCCTCACGTGCCTCGTAGGTGCTTTCGGTGAGGGCAAACTGGCGAAACCAACCATTTACGTGGGCATGGATCGGTGTGGATGTTCAAAAGGACAGCGTGCGGGTCCGTCTTGGGAAGGCAGGAACTTCGGGGGTTGGGGGAGGTTTGCTGCAAGGGCATCCTATCACAGAAGCACGAAGAACCCTACATCCTGAAACCACAGGAGGTGCCCCTGGGCCCTGGGAACGGGTCCCTGGCTTACCCCAGGTACCAGGACTCCACTTTTGCGTACTCACATGCTGTCACCGGACTCTGACATCAGAGGGTTAGCCAAGGGTCCGATCTGAGTGCTGGTTTTGTGTTGATGTTTCGAACAATGTGCATCACATGTACAACCTAAAACACCACGCCAAGATGCACGCTCACCTACATCAAAACGTCACCCCGCCCCACAAGTAAAAGATAACATTGCCGGCAAAGAATGGATCTTCAACACCTCTGCCCCTCCAAAACAACAGAAACCACAAACATCCTCCCCAACAAAAAAAAAACAAACAACAACAACAACAACAACAACAACAACAACAACAACAACAACAACAACAACAACAACAACAACAACAACAACAACAACAACAACAACAACAACAACAACAACAACAACAACAACAACAACAAACAACAACAACAACAACAACAACAACAACAACAACAACAACAACAACAACAACAACAACAACAACAACAACAACAACAACAACAACAACAACAACAACAACAACAACAACAACAACAACAACAACAACAACAACAACAACAACAACGACAACGACAACGACAACGACAACGACAACGACAACGACAACGACAACGACAACGACAACGACAACGACGACAACGACAACGACAACGACAACGACAACGACAACGACAACGACAACGACAACGACAACGACAACGACAACGACAACGACAACGACAACGACAACGACAACGACAACGACAACGACAACGACAACGACAACGACAACGACGACAACGACAACGACAACGACAACGACAAACGACAACGACAACGACAACGACAACGACAACGACAACGACAACGACAACGACAACGACAACGACAACGACAACGACAACGACAACGACAACGACAACAGCCAACAAAAGAGTGGAACACCTAGCCGGACACACTGTCAACATCTTTCAATCCGTTTCAGCCCAGCGCTGCTTGGATGTTCCACCTTAAGCGGGTGATTATCACCCGCTAAGGTGGAACATCCAAGCAACTCCACAACTTGGCCAAGCTTCCCCAGCGAAAGGTATTGCATCATTCTTTGCTGCTTCGAGCACATGTCCGAACCTTCGTGTTCCTTTGGGTGTCCCTTTCTGCAGCCGGGTGGCAAACACCCAACGGTCTACCCCTTTCCAGGCATACCAATTTCCAGCGGCTACTGGATTTCAGCTTCCCCGCAGCAAATCACGTTCCAACTGCTACCTCGGTGCGCTGCCGGGAAGCGCTCCTCCAGCAGCGAGGCCAACAGCTGGCAGGGCGCCAGGTCCTGCGAATGGGCGCGTGTGAACCCCGCTTTTCGCTTTGGGCGGGGGGGGCTCCTAAGGGTTTCCCTTGAAGACTATCCAAGGGTAGCCTCCAAAAAAGACACACACATTTGGGAACCGTTTTTTGTTGTTGTTGGGGTTCCTACATGACCGATGGGTCCCTTGCTTAGAGGAAAACCAAGAGGAAGCCAATCATGTTTTGGGCCTCCTTGGAGATAACCCCTTGGGTGGTGTCTTCTGAGGCCTGGAAGCCTTTTGTAGGAAACCCTCATTTTGTTCTGAGGGTACGTACCCTTTCAAGGGTAGTCGCAAACAAATTGGGCATCATGGGTCTCAAAACACGTGTGGTGAGATCCCGACGTCTCCTTCTCTCCACAAAACTAAATGAGAGGGTTTCTGCACTCCCTCAATTTTCACCCGTGGATTAAGCAGGCAGCCAGCAGGTGCTTAATGTATACCCAGTTGATTCAGCAACCGCATGAGTGGTTCATTTTTTTGTGGCTGGGGGGGGGGTGTCCGGCTTCAGAGGGACGTCACTCTTTTTTCGGGGGAACACCCCCTGTGAATTTGCGACGTATAAAATCGGGGTCAACGTTTAAGAGTTTGGGAAGGGGATTTGGTTTTGTGAGCAGACCATTCCCACCACCAACGTGAAGCTTTGGCCTTGGTCCAAGGGCTTGGAATCAACTTTTTGGATGGCTGGAAAGATTAAGTTCACACAAGCTCCCTTTTGCTGGTGTATATACTCCTTTGGGGAGCAAGGGGTTGTAGTTTCACCGGTTTCCCCTTTCCTGAGTTGACTTGCAAAAGCCGCGACTTTTTGTTTGTCAAATATGATCCAAACCACGTGCTTCCCTTGCTCGAATCTTAACGGCAACAAACTTAATTACTGGACGAGTGGATGAGCCCAACCAACCAGCAGTTGAGGCCCCCAGACGGGCCATGGGACAACATAAACCTTTCGCTTGGTAGTGCACCCCCCCTCCCCCCCAACTGTTGATTTTCAAAATAGGTTCGCCTTTAAACCAACCCCAAAGAGGTACTCCCCAAAGCGAAATCAACGCCCGGCCAGTCCTCCAGGTAGGCGGCGTGCAGGCGTCGGCACAGCGGGCAGCGCCGGCCCGCGCCGTGCTCCAGGCACTGCGCTAGGCAACCGCGGCAGAACCTCTCCGAGGTGTCGGGGCCCAAAGCCAAATGGCGACTGAGGGGAAGTCGTTAAAACCCCACATGCACCCCATTTAGTTTGGTGGGGGTTGTGGAGGGGGTGGGGAGGAAGGGGGTGTGGTCTGGCAAAAGTCGTTAATACCCCATTTAGTCGGGGGGGGAAGGGGGTGGAGAGAGGCGGGTGTGGACAAAAAATACACACATGCACCCGATTTAGTGTTGCTGGTGTTTGGGGAAACTTATAATTTTGTGGGCAAGCGGCACGCTGGTTTGTTTGCGAGAACAAAAGGAAAGCAACCCTTGACTTAAAGATTTTCTCTTGTTCGGCTTCCTTAATTGGGGCGGGTTCAGCAACCTCCATTGTTCAATGGGAACTTGTCCTTTCCTCCCTGGTTAAGCATCAAACACAGGCATGAACAACAACACTTTGCCTTTAGGCTCGTTTGGGTGTGTCTTTCTTTAGGGGACCCCCCCCAAAAAAAAAAAACAATGTGTCTTCCCCAAAATAAAAGCACACAGCATGGGTACCGTGAAAAAAAACACCCCCATTTCCCTTTGCGTGTTGAACAAGCACAAACCAAACGCCCCTCGGATCCCCCGCGCTCTTGGGAACAGCCTCTCTTTGCCCGGCAAAAACAACACAGCCATGTTTCCCAAGAAACACCAGGCTGTGGGTTAACAAATCGTACCCAAAATTGTAGCAAGTGCAAACATGCGAAACATGGACTGAAACTCTCGGTCCCGTCCCAAGACTGAATTGAACTCTGGCAAGTGGAAAAATGGACTACAACCTGCGGTCCACTGGTGGTTTACTTTTGACCCACACCCACCATAGGGGAAATGGGTCGAAACGGCCTCTTGCACCAAATGGGTGTCAAAATACGACAGGGACTCGAAAGATTGTCGGTTTCTTTCGGATTTTCTAGAACACCAAGAGGTGGCGTCCTGACAAAAGGCACTTCCGAATCATGCCAGACTCCTGAGAAAATGTTTGGGCTGAGGTTGACGGGGGGAGAAGGCCCCCCGCCGGAACTTTCAAATCCGCCAGGTACTCAAATCCCACGTCAACATTAACTAAACAATGACTCCCGGTACAATGTGCCAGGGTGGTCCTTTTGACCCCCTTGTTGGTCACTAGTTCGGCATACCTCCAGGAACCTTGCGCTTCTTGGCAATCCATACGTGTTCTAGATAAAGCCTGCCGCGTTTCCGCAGCCGTGCACCAGCGCCGAGGAGCACATGCGCGCAAGGCAAGACCACCGGCTCGTAGATGAGCTGGTGGCAAAGCGCGCAGTCGCAGTCCTGGCGCAGGCCAGTTCATCCTCCAAAGGGCACCCTCTTTGGGGCTGACCACGTTTTTTGAGGTACACGCAAAGAAACAACAACGAAGGGATTTAGAGGAGTTCGAATCAAACAAAGTGAGTTGTCCTTGTGCGGATGCCCTTCACATTGGTTGAATTTGCTTTTGAAGGTCCAAACAAGTTGAAAATTAGAGTTGTTCCGCTAACCGAAAGAGATGCTTCTTTATGTGTATGTGTATAGTATTAATATATCTATATATTTCGGCTTCACCACCACACCGAAAGGAAGCTAGGGCTGACAAGGCAGTGTTCCAAACCACCAAAAGAGGAATTTAAGTTGAAGCCATGTCACAAGTGTCGTTCCAATTCGAGTGGAGTTGTCGACGCAGATCGGGCGGGGAAAAAACACGTGGGAAATCAAACACATTTATGAGCTTTTCCACCAGTCGTCAGGCAGTGCACACGTTGTGTTGCCACTATGATACCCAGGGAATCTATCCCCTTTGGTTTCCAGAATCGGTTTCCAGATTGGAGAATCCGCAAGTAAACCAACCTCTTTTCGGGGTCCCTTGAACTACTATTCTTGCAAGGGGCCCAGTGTTGGTGGTTTAAACATATTTTGCCACCATTCGCTTTGGGGCAAACAAAAACTAAAGCCCGGCCCAATTGCAGCCCAACCAGGCCTCCAACGTGGGCATGTCCGCTCGCTTTGGGCGGGTGACCAGTGCTCGTCTCGGGCTAAGGCAGCCCAGTGGGCTTCCGTTTTGGGGAAGGGCCCCCGTGCAGTGACATGAGCGGTCAAAATGTTTGCAGGTCTTCCAAGAGAGGGATGGGGAAATGCATGTCACCATGTCCGAAGCTTACACGCCGTTTTTCTTCTCTCTTTTCTTTGCGGGAAGCGAAAAAAGGCACATAATTCTGCACAACACCCCAGCTGCCCACGTGCAGTTGCGAAAGGGCATCTGGGTGTGTGTAAATGATCTGTTGGGGGAGAGGGTTATCAAGCCTAGGGTACTGTTGATTGACATTGCCCCTCAGGTGACCTTCCAAGTGTCGCCATGCTGGCAATCCCTCCTGACACGGTAATGATTCATCCGCGGGGGAAAAAACAACAACGGTCATTCCCCAGCTGGAAACAAGGGAACTCCCTGACAAGGGACCTTCACTAGGGCATCCCTCGCTTTACCCCCCGCCCGGTGAGCTGGTCATACATTTGTCCAGGAGTTCATCCTTGTGCCTTGCATGTGGGCTGTTGCGGCTCGCGGCCAGACGCTGCAAAGGTGCCGAACAAAGGGAGACAGCACAAGATGCTGCAGAGCCCAGCTGTCATCACCTATTAGTACATGCTCGTACAATTAGTACATGCTCGTACAAACACATCAACCCATGAAGCTATGTACGTGTACGTGTGTGTGTATATAATACATACACAAACAAATATATCACCCACACTGTATGTCACAGGCTATCACGACAATTTCACTCATAATTACACACACAAATGTCGACAAGCTTTAACCAACACAATCAAATATGATCGAATAACTTTGGCGTGTTTGCATTGGTAGGGCCAGGACAAACAGCCCTGGCAAAAGCGTTGGTCAATACAGCTGTTCACATCTCAGCCATTTCATGCAGCCGCATCACCTGTTAAGTCTGGCTGAATATCATTTTGTTATAATATTTGATAATAGTAACAATTCAGCAGCAGAACCTTCATGATGGATGAAGTTGGGATGGGTTCTGCAAACAGTATTTGTGCAGCTGTCTCCATGTTCCCCCGATAGACGCTCTTGTGGGGAACAGAAATGAACTAGAAACAAATCAAGAAGGCACCGCCCCCGCCGGTATACGCCTTTCGTCTGGCTTTCCTAGAATTCTTGTCCTGGTAAGAAGTTGAAATGAGAGCCTCAGCCAACCCCTCCCCCCCGTTCTCAAAGCCTAAACACCCTTCAATGGTCTTGGACAAAAAAAAAGAGCACACATGTTTGGTGCGGCTCTCCAAACGAAAACATATATTCCAGGGAGACCTCTACAAAGTTCAAAGGACACCAATGGAGTACTGGAGTTCGAGTCTCGCTTGCGCCTTGTCGGCCATTTGTTTGGTTGCCAACAAGACGCCAAGATCCACAAGGTAAGCTCAAATGGCAGGATAATTATGTGCGCAACCGAGATTTGATAATTCCCTTCCAACTTCCAACCACCTGTAAACCGTAAACCCAAGGAGACCTGTTTGGAGAACCTTTCTGGGGACCTTCTTTGGGACCGGTTGTGGGACGACTTTTCGGGGCACTGACATGAAACCAAAGCCATGTGCCAGGGGCCATGGTCCAAATTCCCTGAATAGAGGGCAATGCAGCAATTTACTTTGAGTGCACCAAGTCGTCACAGGGATGGCTCGCTTTGGTATCATGCATGGCACAAATTGATCTTATGGCAAGCCAGTCGGAGGCTCAGCACACCTTTTCTCCATCACAACTCGCCAACAGGGAGGTCCGCAGGAGTCACCCTGGGCACAAAAATGCCGCGGCGGTACAGTGAGCCAACAACTGACCCCTGCAATTCAACGGCCGGGACCCCGAAAAGGGTTCCCAAGGACGAATAAGTGATACTCCTCAACAAAATGATGTTCATGTTCCAAGCAAACTGTCAGAAAAGCAAAGCACCGTTTAGGATTCCTACAAAAAACACTATGAACCAGCGGTCTCCTGCCATCAAGGCCTGTTCTTGATGGGTCGAACTGGAAATGCAAGTCAACATCGACTCAAGGACCTGGACTGCTGGCCACAAGCTCCAAGACTTTGGTTCTCAGAATCAGGGCACCCCCTGAATAGTGTCCTTGTGGTTCCCTTACCAACCAAAAGAGGGCTTCCAAAAACAAAACAAGTTTCCTTTTGGTTTCAATTTCAGCCAAAGGAGGGTTCCCAAAAAAGCACAAACCCAAAGGTTCGACGACCTGCTCCAACCCCATCGTTCCATCACCTTGCTTGTGAGAAGCGGACTTCCAATTGAGAAAACCGGCTTCAAAGGTCAAGATTTCTCATCAAACAGGGTCCGAACAAGGTTCTCTTTTCTTTGGTACCGTGAAGCATCACTCAACTACGGCAACCAAACGCCGCTGTAGGCGCCCAACACCCATATTGACCAAAATTACTATATAGGTTGTCACAGTTTTTCTATCACCTGGGTGGAACAGGTTGCAAACCCACCTAGTGAAAGGTTCAGCTTGTGTCCAATGGCCCCTGTGGACGCGGGAAATTGCTTCTTGAATGGGTTGGCAGTGGTTCTTTGATCAACAACACAGTGAGAAATTATTAAGAGGGTTCTGGTTTTCGTGAGGATCCCTCTAGGAAACAAACAGGAAACCACAAAAATACGTGAGCGATGGCCCGAAGACCATCGGTTTAGCATGGAAAACAACATAGCCACAGTCAAAATACGCCATTCTTGCAAAGGACCTGGGACATTTCTGAGGGCCCCCTCGACCATAGACCACTGGATACGTTGACAGACCATATTATACACCTTCTATAATCCCGGTGAAGCCAGACCCTTCCGCAATGGGCCTGTCTCTCTAACCGACATGGTGTGCTTGCCTCTGTTCCCTCCAATAATCCACCAAGTGGATGTGAACTTTGCAAATCACTACCAACCCCAAAAAAACGGAGAGTGGGCGGGCATGGCCAGAACTACGGCAACCCTCCAGGAAAGGACCAACATCTTGAGTCAGCTCGTTTAAGCCTTCAGCCCCAAATTAGTGAGCTCACTGCATAAATAGCTTGTCTGGATTTATCCGGGGTCACCCTTGCAAAACTGTTCAATCGCTACCCTCACAGGGTCCATTATTTCACCACTATCAAAGCACGAAAGCCACCCCGAGTGGTTCGAGAGGCACCGGCCCAGTTTCTGACTTTGATGATATGATAACCCCAAAAACACATAAAGCAAAGTCACAACAATAACCCCAGTCTAACTCCTCACCAAGGTGCGACCGAGTCTGGAGCAGCGCTCCCAGCGGCCACTCCAGATCTTCGCCCTCCACCTCCGCACCGGCGACAGGCACGACGCGAGGCTCCGTAGATCCCGCCGTGTGCATGTTGACAACGTTTGGGTTGGAAAACTGAAGCACCTCAAGCAAGGGTTTCGTCTAAGAACGGACATGATTTGGGGCCCCGAATTTTGACCACGGTTTTTTCTAGATTTCCTTCAAGAATTGTCCTCTATCAAACACCTGGGGAGTATCCACATTGGCAACCCTCCTGCCGTAGAACAAGGCGGCGCAAAATGTCGCCAGGAAAAAAGAAGCATGAGGGCTGAAACCACTGTCATGTGTGTGTGTGTGTCTCAAAAAGGTCAATGCCTGTTTCTGAGTGAATTGTCGAGACCAAGAATGAACTGCATGTTTGTTTACCACGAAGCTGTGCTTTCCAAAAGTGGTCACTCGGGAAAGTGAATTGTTCAAACCTGACTCCAAAGCGAAACAACCATCCCGTTCGAGGCCTCGAGAGCATACGTCACCTTCCGGGCGTCCTTGGGGAAGCCGTACATCTCCTTGGCTAACCCCATGGTTGAAGATCCAGGTAAGCTCGTGGCTAGGAAACCAGACCTTTTACCAAGTTTCACACGGCTTCCTTGGGTACCTACAGGGGTAAACGGTTTTGTTTCTGGAAAAACGAGGGATTGTCATGCCGACTGCGTCAGAAAGGGATTGCTTGGCAGAGAAAGCGGCGACCGAAATCCCAACTTTCACCACAGGTGGTTTGGGGACAAACAATTCGGACATGCTCGGCTTTGACCTGCTGGCAATCCGATCCGGTGCTTCCAGCAGGTCAAAGCCGCTTTGAAACAACTCCAATTTGCCCCCCCCCCCCGCCCCCGCAAGAGACATATCCCTCCTGATGGGAAGAAAACACAACCAACGTCCAACCCACTTCCTCACCACATTGGCCAAACCAATCGAAACTGTTTGTTTTCACTACTGGGAACCTGAAAATGACACTGGTTGATTAATGGGGGTGGACCGCTTTTGACTACCCTTTCCGGGGAAACACCCCCCTAATTCGCGAAAGTCGACGAATCCGCAACCTTCCGGCGACCTGAGCAAACCGAGCTGCACCCAGCAGGACGAGGATGTAGTTGGCTTGGAAGCAACGGAACGCCATGTTGTCCTCCGCCGTGTACCTTGGACTGGCTCCGAGCATCATCATGAGACGCTTGTTGCCTGCAAATTCACAGGTGCCACAAAGGGACCTGCGTAAACTGTAAACATGATGCTTGGGATTCCAAGTTAATCTGCAGAGGAATATTTGGGTGGTTTATGAAAGTTTATGATACTCAATGCACCAAACGAAGAATGCCGGCACACCAAAGCCTCTGTGAGGTCGCCAAAATTCAGGGCATCCTTCGTTTTCTCCTTAAACATCACCTCACCAAAAGGAAACTCATTTAGCATTGCTCCAGCAAGTGTTTAAACTCCATGGAAAGAACAACTTCGTTGGACCCCTGCCAAAACAAGGAACCTATCCTTTCAATAGAGGACACCACTCCCCCAAAGCCATGGGGCTCTCTGAAGGGGCACGGGTTGAGAGCTCATCCTTTCAAAGAAACGGTAAAGACAAAAACGCCTTACCAATCCTTTGGAGAGGTCCTCAAGACTGGGATTAGATTCAGGGGAAACCCATGCGCCCTCCCCCCAAAAGGCTCATGCGGAGATCCAGAAACTGGGGAAGGCTCTCGGTGTATAGTTAAAATTGTCCCAAACTGAACTATTCCTCATTGCGTCCTTTAACAGGATCCCAAAGGATTCATTCCCACCCCTCAAACGATTCCCTACTAAGAACCAGCAAGAAAACAAGGTTTCCCTTTGGTTTCCCTTTGATGCTTAAGGAAACGACCATGTCTGCGGGTCAAATCACTGTTTTGACGAGGCGTACGGGAACCGCCCCAAAAGCGACAGAAGCCGAGCTGCTGATGTGCCGTCGACTTCTCCTTGGTCTGTGCCTCCACCCAGGAGTACTCGCCTGCAATCGTCCAACACATACTTAAATCCCTAGGAACAAAAAATCCAATCATGATAGATTCCCTTTAAAACCAACAGGGGGAAATAAAAAACATTCTTAAGCAAATTGAAAAAAGGTTGAAATGGCATGGAAAACCCATCAGAGGTCCACGTCTTGCTTTGCTTAGGTTGATGAATGAGTACGCAATGGAATGTCTGATACCCTCTGTGCCCATCGCCTGCACACATCAGATCCACTGCCAGCTCCAGCTCTTTCAGCGTTGGGCGCGGGTACGCCTCAAGCAAGAACCCGCGAGCCACAGGGTGCACCAAGATGTGAAATACAATTCCGTTGGTACCATCCAAATGGAGGGGGGGGGGTGGTCCTCAGGGTTCCCTTAGCCTATCTTGATTGTCCAACCGAAAAAAAAAAAGGAACAAAACCATCACAGAGGCTGTGCGGCTACCTGGGCGGAGCGCACGGGGAGACTAAGTTGTATTTGACCCCGAAAGGTTTACAGGTTGCGCAACGGAAGCTCACCTGAAATTAGCCGCCAATGCAATGTACCTGTGTAAAACGTGCAAGATAAATTCGACACAACGTGTCTTGAAACTCTTTTCCTGAGCTCATGGGCCAGGCAAAAGTCAAAAGCTTGCTCTTCCCCACTAGAATGGTCTTCCCAAAACAAGTACTGGTACTGTTCGGGAACTCGGGTGACAACCTCCATTTTCTCAACCACAAAAACACATGCTTCCTGGCCCTGTCCTTGAGCCAGGGAAACATGAACCAGAGCGAATGGACGATACTGCTAACCCGCTGATTAATGACCTCCCCAGTGATGAATGCTGCGATGCTGTTCCAAGGGAATCAAGCTCCTCAGTCAACATTAGGGGCCCTACTAGGGAGATAGCCTTGGATGGTCTTGCAGCCCAGTGAAAAGCGGACCTGTTGAGAGTTGGCAAGAAAGAACATAGTGTGAAACATGCGCCGTCATGTTCAAACATATCTCAAGGGGTTCCATTGGAAAGACAAGCAGTGACCCAAGACCCTGTTTCCAACAAGCATAGGCGGGGAAGCTATCATTCTCAGCGCCCGGATCCAAAACAGCACCTTGGGATGTCACATATTGTCCCCTACGTGACCCCACAAAAGGAAACTCATCGAAAAGTAGCCCAGAAGGTGATGCTGCAGCCCCGAAAAGGGAAATCTAAGGACCGTGATTTGATTGGGAGAAGCAATTTCTTCTAATCACCTGATTTACAGGGGAATGCTGATCGGCAAAATGTGTTTTTATGGCTAAATGCATAGCAACCCGGTTGGCTCCTTCGAACCAGTTGCCCCGAAAGGCAGGCTTTGGAGAGATGGCCCAAAGTTTGTGAGGGAGCCCTGACGGGTGGCCAGGGTTGGACCATGCTTACACCGATTTTGTCCCAGTGATTCCATGTAGCCCTGTGGGTAACCACGGGAAACCATCATGTGAATCCCAGAAGAAGACAGCCTGGATACCTATGGAGGCATCTGGATCCACTGGGTGTGCCAACCTCCTTTGGGATTCCAGTCTGGTTTGTCAAACAAATTTTGTCCACCTTACATTCTGCACTAGAGTTCCACTTGATTTCGAAAAGGGGCTCCATCCCCTCTATGCAATCCAGCCAAAGCACCTTGCCTATCCTAACCGGTAGCCTACTGCCCTAATCCTTCACCAGCCTCACTACGCAAAGCTTCAATGTCCCTCGGATGTGTAGCAACTTTCTGGGGGTCAACGCGCTCTCGAGACTTCGCTTCCGAATCATGGTTCATCATGAATTCGTGCCGGCCCATCTTGTCGGCACGCCCATGCCCATTCTTAGGATCTTGGGTGGCTAGTCTCAGCATTTCCAGAGAGGGTGAACAGACCCCCAGTCCGTGGGAACTCACTTCTGTGATACCAATTGAAGGCCTTGGTTCCTTGGAGTCAAAACAAGATCCCACGAACCGCACTCCGGCCTCCAGGAAGGGCACCTTCCGCTGATTGGGGGCCTTGGCGAGCCACCAGTGCACGAAGTCCGCCACGTAGGTCAGCCCCGAGACACCGAAGAAGTCCACCGAGCCCTGACCAGCGTTGGAGTGGCGAGAGTGGCGAGGGACGCGGTCACCAATCCGGCAAAAGCGAAAACAGAAAAAAAGAAGAATAACAAACAAGCCAATAGGATGTGCCGAGATCTGAAGGGTGTTGATGCTTCTCACCAGTTTCTAGCCTCTCATGGGCAGGCCAGCGGGGTCGTGTCAAAGGAAGCGTCATATCACTTGAAACCAAAGGACCCAAACATAAACACGACAACTCTCTGCAACCTTGTCTGGATCCAACCAGGAAAGCCGAGTCAAATGGAATCTGACAGAGACGCATTGACGTGGACGCTGTAACAATCGCTGCTGATGATTATTTTTGAAGTCAGAAACAAGCAACAGCACGTAACTTCGCAATCACAAACCTAGTCCAAGGCAAACAACACAATATAGCCAAAGCCACGGGAACGAATCACCTTGGCGCCTTCCCGCACAAACCTATGTTTCGCATTGGGAGCCCCAAGATGGATGGTTTCAAATTGGTATTCCTGCCAGTTTGAACAAAAGTCGGTATTTCATATTTCAACCACGACACACCCAACTGTCAATTGGTTGTGGGTATGCACCCCCCCCCCGCTCCCCCCTCCCCCCGCCCCCTTCCCCCCCACCCCTTCCCCCCGACCCATTCCCGAACAGGGGTCTAATTCTTCGCAACCACATCACCGTACGGGTTTTCCCTTCAACTATAAAAGTGTTTGAATGTGGCTGAATCAATCTGCAATCCTGGGCTTGACTCCCCCATGCAAAGCAAAATCCAGCCGCTCCCTAAAATGTTTGTCGGCTACATGGCCGGATGCTGTCAACGAATTTTGCGGTCTGAAACCACAACGCTCATCCCAACAATTCCCACCTTCAAAGAAGAATCCCTGAACACGTGGAAGCTTAGAAGTGCGAGGGAAGTTACCTGTAACTGTTCAATGTATATTCAGAGCCAATAATGAAGGGAAGCCATTTCGCCCGGTGGCCCTTTTATGCTCCCTCATGGCGCCTGGTGGCCCTTTACTGACTAAGAGACACCGGCACGGAGGCCTGCACGGCCCGGCTGGCTTCTTGGCTCAGGTCACCCAAGCAGGCGTCCCTGCCAATTGGATTTCTCGCTTGTCACTTCGGGGGCTTTCCCTGTTGGAGGGGATGGCAGCTATTGCAATTGTTTGGGCACTGGGAGGCAAATATACCTAAGCTGGGTAAACATGATGAGAGAGGTTTAAACGCCTAATTATTGTTGAAACAAGCTTTCTTTCCTTCCTCCTTTGAAGAGGCCAGGGTCTGATATTGTTGATCCCAAATTTTTGCCGAACCTGGCTAATACAGTGCTGATGCACAATGAGTATTCAAGCTTCTGGGGGTCCCCGCTCATATGCAGTCAAACAGATTGTTACACTTCTGACCCAAGCATTGCACCCAGGATCATTCTATGTTGGTTTCTCCAGTTGACAGGTTGGTCCTTGATTGTTTCCCGTATGGGTCATTCTGATTCCCAAGCAGCAAGCGCCAGTCTTTGAGAGGTAGGGAGCTTAATAATCCTTATGAGGGAAAAATGATGATTACCAAGCAAGGCCAACGGGAAAAACACTCGAATCGGCATGAGCCACATAGGGTTCCAAGGGCACTTCCCTTTGAAACAAACATTTACTGTAGTCATGGCTACTTCCCTGCAAAACCAGCTTGGAAAAGTAAACACACACCCACACAAACCGCAGAAGCACAAATCAGTACTTGCATGGATCTTTGTCGGTACCTTTCCCATGAATCCTTGAAACACGAACAATGGTTGGCAATCATAATATTTAGCGCAGGCAATCATCTATTTTAGGGTGTTCCTCTGACTAGTTTGGTCTTCCGGATGAATCTGAGATTGACACTACTGTCTATGTCAGGCTAAAGCGCGTTCCCAGGTCCAAGGTGCTTCTTGTCCAGCTTGCAGGTTTCTGACCTCACGAGCACGGGTCGTTTGCGGTCTGCTCTGTGACGGTAAACAAAAAGATCCATGAAAAAAGAGCTCGCAAAACTGAATAGGGGCCGCAAACGCAAGGGACCCCCACGTCCTGCTCCTCATCCCGAAAAGCAGTAAATACACATGAGTCCATTGCAGAAAGTCATGCTAGATGCAAAGGAATTTGAAAGCTTCCAGGGAAGAAACGACATGCAGGTTCAATCCTTTGCATCCTTTGTAGCACCAAATCCTCGCACACTCCAACAATGGCCTGCAGATCAAGTCATCCACACCACTTGTGCCGCAGGCGCTTCAAACTGGCGCCGAAGCTTTGGGCAGTCCAAATCTGGAGGACCGCAGACTCAGAAAATGAGACTTTCCGGAAGCAAATTGAAACCACCAAGAGAGGAGCGCATGAAACGCAGTGTTTTGCACACAGTAGGCACATGAGTAAACTTCCTTCGAGGGGACCCCCGTTTGGGGATGGTTGAAAGGCAAACCAAAGCACAGCCAAGCGAAGCTCCACCTGCTGAATTGAAATCATTGAAGTTGTTGTTCACCGGAATGAAACAACTTAACACAGGCTCAAACATTGGAGGATCCCTACCCTAGATTAATCCCAATCCGCAACCCGTAGTGGACACCAATAGAAAACTGCTACTGAAATTGCTAGGCAGTTTGTTTCATTCACCAACCGGTATTGGACCAAGAGCGGGGCCAGCTCGGATCCCCCCGGGAGCTCAGAAAAAAAACTTGCACAAATGAAACGCACTTCCGATCGAGTGGATTGGCTGAAACGAGTCCAAACTGCTTTTCAAAGGCAACTCGGATCCAGAAAGTCGGACCCACGTGATATTATCCCCAATAATGGGCCTGAGGTTGATGACTTGGGGAAGCCATATATTCAGCTGATACTAGGTTCTTATTAGCTGGGTCCGACAACTTCCTTGTGCTCAAGGAGTCACCACAGAACAACGTGCTCAGTCATGGCCATCTCCTTTTCAAGCCAACAGGGAAGGTTGGGTGTGTCTCAATCGGGAGCATCCCAAAAATGGCTGCAGTTTTCCTTGTCTCAATTCAAGCCAACCTGAAACGGGAACCTGAAAAACACACGCCAAGACGCACTAAAGCAAAAGGCCAAGGCGCTCTTTGAGCATCATCTGGTGAATGAGACTTCGGCAGGCAGGGCCGGCGCCAATGCCGACCACGCCCTCCGCCACTGGCGTGCCTGCAGCGTGGGAAAGTCTCACCTTTGCCAAATTGACAAGGTTGCCTACATCTCCCCCTCCAGCCTCAGATGTCCGCCCTCCCCAACCAAAAACACAATTTGATTCTGGTCAACATTCAGTGAGCCTTAAAATGCAAAGTACTTCCAGTTGAGATACCAAAAACATTACCCCGCTTTAACAAAACATACTTTGACCCAAAAAGTTGATGTCGGAAACTACCAACATGTTGGCCCTACGGCCATCGTTTGCCCCACGTTTTCAATGGGCGCTCTCGTGGACACAAGTGCGCCCGGAAACAAGTAAACCCGTGTGAGGCCAAATGGTAGCGTGCACGTTCAAGGGAACCCGGAAACAGCCAAATGGTAGCGTGCACGTTCAAGGGAACCCGGAAACAAATGAACCCGTGTGAGGCCAAATGGTAGCGTGCACGTTCAAGGGAACCCGGAAACAAGTGAACCCGTGTGAGGCCAAATGGTAGCGTGCACGTTCAAGGGAACCCGGAAACAAGTGCACCCGGAAACAAGTAAACCCGTGTGAGGCCAAATGGTAGCGTGCACGTTCAAGGGAACCCGGAAACAAGTGAACCCGTGTGAGGCCAAATGGTAGCGTGCACGCTCAAGGGAACCCGGAAACAAGTGAACCCGTGTGAGGCCAAATGGTAGCGTGCACGTTCAAGGGAACCCGGAAACAAGTGAACTTCTGTGAGGCCAAATGGTAGCGTGCACGTTCAAGGGAACCCGGAAACAAGTGAACCCGTGTGACCCCGAAACAAAAGCCCTATTTCAGGGCTGCTCGAAGGATCCTGTATCGGCGACCAGTCATCGGTCACATCATGGTTCTCATGCTCGAGTGACAGCTGCTGCGCTCTGCGAAAGCCATGCCAGACTTTGAATCTCTTCCTTCTTGGCGTGTCTGATGTCTTTGCTGGACTAGCATCACCTTCGCATGCCAATTGGTTCTGGAACTTGCGCTTGGATTCAGGCGAGGTAAACATGGCACAAGGTAAACATGGCACGAGGTAAATATGGCACCGGCCCTTGCCATTGCTTGAGCATCGCAAGCGGCGGTGGCAAAAACGCTTATACAGCGTGGGGCAAACGATGGCCGTAAGCCCAACATGTTGGCTAGACGGGGGGGGGTTGGCCGGGTTTCAGCCTGCCCTAGCCTGCCCCGGCCTCGGGTGCGCTCGATGCGCGCAACGTGGATGGATGAGGGGGGAGGGAGCGCTTCCATCCAGGAGCAGATCCCGAACCCCCAGCCCACGTAGGGAACGCCCCTGTGTCACTTCGATCCACGGTCTAGAGCCGCAGCTTCCTAGTCGCAACTCACCGCAGCAAAGACGCACTTTGTTTCCTCTACCTGACAAAGCAACAGAGGGCCAAGCGCCTGGTCGGCCGGAGACCGTGGGTGAAGTTCTGGGCTGGGCAAGAAGCAAGGTTCAGAGAGGCGCATCGCAGGCTGCAACTCCAGTACGGGCCTAGCAACCACTTGGGATCGCATGCAGATCAGCGCCGCCACTGGGCGGCATTCCTCATCGGAATTCACGAAGCGCGCCATGTGCCCAAGCAGGCGCTCGCTGAGATGTCAGGACAGGGGGGCAGCATGTCAGTCACCATTCCAATGAGCGTAGCACAACCACGGTGGGGGGAGATCAGAAGCGCGGAGTCCCTGGAAGCTCTCAAGAAGTAGCTTCGCCGCGGCGATTTTTTGCTTTGTGGCGGACGCGCCTGAAAAGGCCCACATTAGAGGGCTGGCAGCTGTGTGCATAGGCAACCTGGTTTGGACAATGTTTTGAAGGCCTTCGTGGCCCATCGCTGATTTGTGACAGCACTGAACCTCGTGCAAGCTTTTCAAGATACATCTTGGCTGTTGACTGCTTGGCCCTGCAAAAGTCCCCTCCTGCCAGCGCCGGAGTACGCGAACTTGAGCATGGTGAACTTGAGTTCCCACGAAGTGAGCAGCCCAAAACTATGATTGTTTACCGTGCAAAACGCACTTTGCCAATGACACATGGACTTGTGGCTCGGGTCGGTCCGGTCCAACCCCCCGCCCGTGTACCCAACATGTTGTGCCGGTATGCAGGGAACCATCAAATAGCAGCGCCCAACCCCGACCGCAACCTCCCCCCTCGCCCCCCCCACCTTTCATGTAGCAGCTCGCGTCGCTGCCATCCGACGCGGCTCGGACCTGCGTTTCGCTCAAGAGTCGCGCTGGCGGATTTCGAGCGCTACAGCATGGGGTGGGTGTTTTGTCGATTTCGCAGCAAACGAACCAACACAAGTAGCCTGAAAACACACACATACACTCATTGGTTTTTAGAGGGGGTGTCATCGGGATCAACGAACTCCCCAAGTTGGACATTTGGAATTGTTCCACAGTACATGCAGAAATAGCCACATCATGCAAACTCTTTTAATGGGGAAACTTGCCGGAACTTGCCCAAAGCGGACTGCCTTTCAGACTTGTTTGCTTTTCGGTTTGGCTCTAGTCTAAATTCACTGCTCAACGGCTGATTGCATCTACCCAGATAGTCTCATACATGAACTCATGGGTATTTGGAGCCCTTTTCCTTATTCCCGTGATTCCCACAATTTCAACCATCAGGGTTTGTTTGTTTCTCGCAGAGGACAGCCTGTTGTGTTTGGCTCAGTGGTGTTTTCATCTGGGTCTCTTTGTCTTGAGGCCATTCCCCTTTCGGTTTTCAAGGGGAAACCAAAGGGAATTCCATTTTGGCGCCTGAGCTCTCGCCTGCTCCCGGATGTGGGTCATGCCGAAGCCCAGGTAGCTCTTGACCATGACGCCATCGCTGAAGTTCACGCCTCTGAAGAGGTCACGGGGCCCAAGCAAGCGATCCAGTAGTAGTCGGGTTGTTTTTTCCGCAAACACAAAACGACACATGATATTGTCATGCGGTAAGGAGCAGCAACAAAATCCACGTGTGCTGTTCTTCCGCAAAACATAAATGACAATTGACGTGGTGAGAACCCTGACTGGGGTTGCTCCCTCCGCCTCAGTCGTAGGTCTGCTTAAGAAAGCAAATGCAAAAAATACCAGCCTTGCTTAGAACGACTTGGAGAGAACCGTTGATGTGTCGTTTTGAGGCTCGGTACCCTTTTCGGGGCAGGGCAACTAACATAAGTCATGCGTTTGGTCCCTTAAGACCCACACCCACTCCAGTGATGAAAGGAATCCTCTCCATTTGAGGGCCCCCCTATTCTGACACATACCCAACTGTTTCCTTCTCACTTGCGAAACGATCGGATTGATGGATTGATCCTCCGGTAGTCGCATCTCAATTGTGCTGATGTCGATGGTCGCAAAATCCATTTCGCACCACCTAAGAACTCTGGAATGACTCGATTCTGTGTAGAATGTCAACAAACAATGGTTTCAACCATGGTTTCAAAGTGGTGCAGGATCTCGCCCGTCCACAGTACGTCCTGACCAATACTACGCAGGCTCGTTATGCTTGGCTTGACTAAGCGTATTCAGGAGGGATAGGTTCCCCTCCCATAGCTGCAAATTAGCATGGAGCCCAACAAGAAGGGGTCCCTCAGAAAAAAGATGCCTCAGTTGTCATTCTGCAGGCGAGTACATATTGAGATTAGGCTTGGGCCTTTGCACTAAGGATGACCTACCCTGAACATATCCGATATCCCAGCCTTTCTGAGCTGCAGCAGCATTGGGGATGCCGATCCTCAGAAGTGGGGCTTCCCTTGGATGGCCCGCCGCCGAACAAACTGTCTTCCCCAAAGGGACATTGGCCAAACTGGGGCCGGTCCCTTTGTTGGTGGGGGATCTGGTGCACTATTCCAGCAGTGGACTCTGGACTACCAATCATATTGTCAGAGACTCATATGCTTCCCCCGGTCGGGCACAATGCCTTGGTAGGCATCGCATTGACATGACCAGTGTTTGAAAGCTACCACACTCACTTTGGGAAAGTTTCAAAATTGGTCAAAGAAGACTTGCCCAAAATTTATGGTTGACCCCACCTTTGTGTTCTAACCCATGCAACACGAGTCACAATCCCACGCCTCCGCCTTCACTGACAAGACATGAGGAAGTGCCACGAACCAATGGTGTCAGAACTTGTGGAGCAACTTGTTGCGTCATCGTGGTAAGCTTCCTCAAATCGAAGCACGTGCATGTATGTATGGGGTTCGCCACTCTGGCGGCAAACCCTCTCATTCTCTAGAAAAGTGAGTTGTGCTGCTCCTGTTTTGTTTTTGGGGGTGGCCGAGTATACTTAGGCGTGCTTCAAAATAGGGGAACCTCCAACATGAGCGGTTTTGGCCCCCTTTTTACCCTCAAAGAAACAAACCCCCTCTTGAGTCATTGATGAATGACAAGGCATATGATGTTGAAGTCAAATTGCGGATTTGGGCGCGTCTCCTTGGGCTGGTATACTCACAACTGACTATCCTATATATATATATATACATATATATATATATATATATATCAGCTTTTTTATTATGAAGGATGGCCTTTGTTCGACACCAACGAGCTTCCCCTGGGTCAAATGCGCGCAGCCCCTTGCTTCCCGACTTGCAAACCAGGTGCTGCGTGCTAGATCCACCTCGGCGCAGCTTCAAGTGCTAAGCCGCTGAGTCTTGGGACTCAACACATGATCGACTGGTCTTGTACCCTCACGACAGCGCACAAATTGCCCATAAACTAACTGCCTTGCCAACCAACCGACCAACAAACACACAAAACAGCGAACAGGGACTGTTTGAAACTGCATGGCGAAAGCATCGCCTTGCTAGTTAATTCACCCCAACATTCTCAAATAGCGGAAACAAACTACAACCAAGCAAGGATGCCATACAAACCCCTTCATGAGGTCTCAAGGCCTTCATCCCAGCCTTATCCTCGGCGCAAGGGATGGATCCCGCCCCTTGCTGGGCTATGGTGGTCCTTACTTTGCCTCTCTGATCCAACGCATCCAAGGCGCCCAAATCCAGCAAGCCCAAGGGCGCCGCGGCGCCATGGGAGGCTAAGTCGTGGCCCATCCTGCAGGCATGGGGTCTTAGCCATGGGTTTGGAGAGCTCGTGCGCCGGCATGCTTCAGGGTAATAATTGTGGCAGCTGCTGGATAAAAAGCAAAGTAATAGTTTGTTGCTTTGTCTTGCTTTGTTCTAATACTGGTTACAAAAGGATTGACATCGATGTAAAACTATGTCTGAAAAAGAAATACAATATCAAGCACAATCGATTAAACCACTTCTGAATATCGACCATGCACATATCTAGCGATATCTTGTTAACTTTGAACAATCAAAATCGATGTAAAACATATGATTTATTCTCAAGTTTAATTTGTAAACAATCAGGTAGATAATTGAAAAGACAAACAACACACTAGGAATACCATGACAAGATATGTGTTCATATAGTTGCATCTACTTGTAGCTGATGTGTTGTTTGTTTCCGTTCACCTTGGCTGAGCCACCCGCCTGGTAAACTGCCAACCAAACTTACTGCGCCTTAAAAGGGGGTTACCATTGGGTGAGTCTTTTGGGGGTGGCTGGCAGGGTCGCTGAAACATGGGAAGATAACACCAAATACTACAGCCACAGTGGAAGACTGACCTAAGCTGCCCGGCTAGAACCAAGTCACCAAAACGCTTGGCCCTAATTTTGTGTAGCACCCTGAAATTGCGGGTCCACAAGTGGAAAGGTCCAGGCGAGACCGGTAAACTCGATTGACCTAGGCAGCTAAAAGGTGGATTATTAAACCGCCTAGGGACATGGTGACATGGGGGTTTCTCAACTTGGTGAGCCCATTATTGGTCCGTGGGTCAAGCGAAACTCAGAGGAAGCCGTTGCCAGTTTAGGGGATCACGATTTTGCGAAACATCTCTATGTTGGTTTCTTTTTCAAAGTTGGACCCCTGGGTGGTTTTCCTCTTGGTGTCCTTTTAAAGCGACCAAACAGCGGGTACCAACTCTAAACAAGACACGCGCAGGTGGAAGGCACCGTCCCGCCTGCCCGTCAGGAAGTTGGCGGCCAGAACCTCTGCTCGGACACGAACCACACTCCGAATAAGAAGATTCAGTGACCCTGACTCGGCCATGGGTCAAAATCCAAATCGTACCCCTAGTGAACATCCCAATCCCCACTAAAATAGCTTCTAACATGGGTGGTGCACCTACCCCACAACGATACCATTGGTTTTGACCCACAGCCACTCTCGGGAACGGCACTGTTGCGCACTGGTCGGTGCTGGTTCTCCGAAATCAATGTTTGTCACCGACCGACGCCCAGTTGCAGGCGGTTTGACAGCGATTGGTTTTGCACTTTGGGTGAAAAGGAAAACCCTGGCTTGACAGTACCCCTTCCACCGGGAATTCCAGAACAACCTCACTGTTCGCTTTCCGAAATACTGTTCATGCCTATGCAATACAATAAACTGTTTGAATCGCCCGCCGCCACTGATCAGGCTTTGAGTGAAAGCAAAACACGCTCACCTGGCTCCGCCTTGCTGATATCAAGCTGTGACATCATGACTTGCCCAAAGGACCCAACCGCAACGGTTAGCCATGCTGGCTTGCCCTGTCTGGAAACATCGAACCGTTGAAATGTCGCTTCGCTTTGGCCAAAGCATCCCACAAGCGAACAGCTTCTTAGTGAAAAACTGACTCAGCGCCCGTTCCATTTGCCCAAGAAACCAACCTTCACGGAGGTCGCAAATTGTGCTTTGTTGTTGGGGAAATGCGAATGCTGGCCCTCCCCCCGAATCTGGGAAGTGCATCTCGTTGTCGCAAAATCAGTGGACTGCCCATCATATCAATATATATATATATATATTATACATATATATATATATATATATATTATGGACACTGACTCATGTCACGCACTTCGCAGCCCTGCCCCCGTCCCGTCCCGTGCAAACGGGTTGCTGCCCACAGGCCCTCCTCCTCGCCTTGCTTTCGGGGCGTTGGGTTCTGAAGGGCATGCAGGCGACACCACCGAGCATGGGAACATCTGCCCAAAAGCTGAAGGCGGGCTTCAACCTCCCATGGAAACTGTTTGGACGAACCTAAGCAACATGGAGGGAAACCCAGCGAACCAACAGAGCCCGAGTCGAAACCCATCATCGAAGGCAAATAACGAAAACAATATGCAGGGAAAAAACTAGCACCATCCAGGTGGCACAAAATCTGGCAAAGGCGAGGCAGAAAATCGGGGAACGCACCAAAACCAGGAGACACAAACAGGAAGGGGGCCACCTCCATAAACAAATCCAAACAGATCATTTAAGCTACAAACAGGCCAAAAACCTCAGGAGATTTGGCAGAAACAAACAAAATTCATATTTTTTCTTACAAGGCTCTCCTCAGAACGCCCACTCCCATTCCCACACCTGCCGGGACGTTTCAGCTGCTCTTAATAATCTGAATTATCAGACTTGTTTTGACGGCGATTCACTCCGCTTTTCATACGCAACCACTGAAAATGTGTATTTCTGCGAAGCCTGCTTTGGGTGCCTCCATGATGTGTATAAGTTGGCATTGAACCAGCGCATCTCACCGATCGGGAAAAGATGGCTCAGGCCACTAGCTGACCTGACCTGCCAAAGACCAAACTGTTTGGTTCAGGCTGTTCCCCCGAACAAGCAACCATTCTCTCTCCAAGCGGGTTCTTCTGCTTCCAAAGTCTTTGTTGAGCTAAAAGCGAACCTTGGCTCACCAACTGAAGAAGCATGGCGCCCCTTCCGCAAAATCCGCCGACCCCATGCCTGGTCCAGAATGGACCATGCTTTCGGAATGGGGGCGGTGTGTTCTGTGTTGCTTTTGTTGATACGTTTTCTAGATATAGGTTTAATGTGAATATAATTATGTATATATATATATGTGCCTCTTGGGGCGGGAAAATACGTCGGCTGGATTTCTGGATCTCTGGATGTCTGGATGTCTGGATCTCTGGATGTCTGGATGTCTGGATCTCTGGGTCTCTGAAGTCTGGGTGTATGGATGTCTGGTTCCCACCCACCTTCCCCCACCCCCTCCCCACCCCCCCTCCCCCCCCCCTTTCTAGTCCAAACCCTAGACTGTTGAGGTCCCAAACCCTGGAACTCCCAAGCCCCAAACCCTGCAACTCTCAAGTTTTGAGGTTCCAAACCCTGAAACTCCAGAGTTTTGAGGTTCCAAACCTTGGAGTTTCAAGGTGCCAACCCTGAAACTCTAGAGTTTTGAGGTCCCAAACGTTGGATCGGAGTTTGGAGGCCCCAAACCTTGAAACTCTGCAGTTTTAAGGCTCCAAAATCTCCACCCTGTCTGCAGTCTCTCTACGTATCTTCGTCTGTCTGTGTCTGTCTACGTATCTGCATCTGTCTTCGTGTCCGCGACCCTCCCCCCCCTTGCGTGTCTGTCTGTCTCTCTTTGTGTCTGTCTGTGTCTGTCTACGTATCTGTCCGCGAACGGGTCTGCGCACGCGTGCTTTCTCTCGCCCCGGGCCGAAATCTGCGTCGGCCTTCGTGTCCGCGGAGACCCCCCCCCCCCTGCCTGTCCGTCTGTCTCTCTCTGCGTCTGTCTGCGTATCTGCGTCTGCCTTCGTGTCCGCGAACGGGTCTGTGCACGCGTGCTTTCTCTCGCCCGGGCCGAAATCTGCGTCTGCCTTCGTGTCCGCGGAGACCCCCCCCCCTGCCTGTCCGTCTGTCTCTCTCTGTGTCTGTCTACGTATCTGCGTCAGTCTTTCTGTCCGCGAACGGGTCTGTGCACGCGTGCTTTCTCTCGCCCCGGGCCGAAATTCTAATGTGTATGGGGGTGGCGGAACCAGGCCGCAGGCCATTAAAAAGACAGCAACTGCGGGCCAAATAGAAATCCGGCGCCAGGATTAGATGGTTGCCCTTCTCCTGGCCTCGCTAAACTGACAAGATAGTAGCCAACGGACAGCACAACTCAGGGTTTGGGCGCTGCGTTTGTGGATCCACTCCGAAAAGGGCATTCAATGAGTGCTAAATACAATATGTACTACTATATAACAAGCACACACAGGGAAGACTTGTACCAAAGCCGCATCAATCTCCATCCCCTAGACACCAGGGCAGACAAGTCTTATCTGAGCAAAGTCTGGCTGGCAACCGGTTTTCTTGCGGGCCAGAAAACTGATCATGAAACGGTACAATTGAAGATCCCAAAATCCGAAGTGAGATATGAGCCGTGATGTGTTTGTTTGAAGCTGGAAAATCAAGATGGACTCTCACGTTCCCTAGTGAAGCACATGTTTTTAAGTGATGTGGGGTACTCTCAATACCGCGGGTATTTTCGAAAATTCGCCAAAACCTTTGTTTTCGGCTGAGGAAAGCAAGTCTAAGAGTATAACTTGTAACATCTTATAAACCACAACGGACAACCATACACAAATATTTCCCACAAATGACATGAGGCAATTTCGACCCGGTCTCAATCCCCGGTCTTCGCACATGCGTTGGGTCAACCAGTATGAAGTGACTCACTGATTTGTCAGCGAGGCAAAATAATTGCTTGGCAGGCGTCTTGGCCAGAGCAAAAAACACAAAAGGCGCATCGCGTCGATTAAGTGGATCCTGTTCATCTGAGGGGCCGCTCACCGTGCGGGCTTGCAAGCTGGACGCGTCGAAGGGAAAGCTGGGATCCTCCTTGGAAGAGGCATGGGAAGACATGCAAACATAGGTCTCCGTTTGGGAAAAACGAAGTGGTAAGTTCAAATTCAGCTGAAACCACTAAAATCCATTCATGTTCAGCCAAGCTGAAACCAGATCGGTATCAGGAATGAAGGGCCAAGTAGATCCCTTGAAGGTCCATGTTGGAGATGGGAATCCCAGATATCTCCCAAGGAATCCCGGAATAGTCGTGCATGATTTCCGCGTAGTACACTTGGACTTACATCAACCGTCCCCCTGTAAGTACGGATATTCTAAATGCAAAGAGAACATGGGCATTCCCTTCACTTACCGCCATTCACCATTTGGAGGACGTGGTTGTTTCACTTGCAACATGTAAGGAATCCACCGACCGTAGGCCCTGATGATGTCTGCAATTCCTATCCCAAATGAGGACAAAACCAACCTACAAGAAGCTAGCTTTGTGAACTCAACAGGTAAGTCTCCCACTGACACATCTCTCCCAACAACTCTTAAATTCATCTGGTTTGTCTCGAGCACGTCTAGCAAACAGTTGCCCAGTTTGTGATTGGACGCAGTAATTTCCACGCTTATCCAAAATGGAGACCAACAAAATGCAAAAGGGAGAAAGCCTCACTGAATGCCTAAGAAATGGTACCTCACCAGTTCATGGTTGTGCAAAATACACATCAATATATATATATATATATGAATGCATTAAACCCTTTCTCTGATATCGGAGTGATTGACCCCCATGACAACTTGCCTACCTTTAAGCGATTCCCTTGGTGTGAGAGACTGGCCCAAAGGACATTGGGGAGAACAAGTGGGACCATGACTAAGACCAAGAGGCTGTGAGATCCCAAAGGTGACAAGTGCGATTCTGCACAACACATAATTTACACAGCTGCATTGAGGAATCCCTCGGTAAAGGACCTTAATATGCAAGCCTGTTTCCCCCGAGCTCGATTCGCTGTCTGCTGAAAGCCTCCCTGGACATGCAAGATACCCCAACACAACACAAGCGATCGGTTGGCACTTGGGGGTTTCCAAATCATTGACCTCTGGAACAAACCATCCGGCCTCAGTGCCTCCATCAATCGCTGCTTGGGTATTGCTTGGGTGTCAAGTGGAAACGGACTAAAACCGAAGACATGGGCTGCTGCCACTGGAAAAAAAACTAGGGTCTGCAGCAAATGCTTTTCAAGGCTGAGATGTCCATCCTGTTCACCCGGATTGCCTCATGTCCAACCTGGGTGGTAATATCCAATTGGTCACTTTTGGAGGGTGAGGGAAAGACGCCGCGATGTGTCCAACCATTGGACATAGATGGATCGCTTTCCTGCATATCTTTCACTTACTAATATCTTCCCTATCTTGTGAGTGCTCATTCTGGAGGAGCTTGCCTCTATCCTGGCCTCTTTGCACAATAGCGGTTACATACCCATCCCTCCATTGGTGTTGCATGAAAATGGGAAAGGTACCTAGATACTAGAAACGGTTAACTTGTGAGTTGGTAACCAGCGACGCAAGGTAGGTTGGTAAAGATTGGGCATTGCCTACCTGACAACACCTGTTTCTTTCACTCCTATTGGCCCAAGCAAAGTCTGAACTTCGCAACCTATGATGGTCATCCAAAGTATGCAGTCCAGAACTGAAAAACATGATTGTGTCTACTGCTGCTTCAAACTAAGAAACTACAGTTCAAATAAACTCCTTGGGGTCCTGGGATGGGTTCAAACAAATCTCGCCCACCCTGCTGGCAAGTGATCTCCCAGACATCCTGGATGCTCTGCACCGCTGACCAAATCTTGGCCTGGCACTGACAGGCCTGGGGTGATTCCTTTCAACCATCAGTCTTTCCAACACCCGCGTGTTTCATTGGAGGCTTTGTGTTGGAAAGGATGGGGAGGATATTCCTAGAAGACTGGCTAATACCTCCAAGAGGAAGCTACAATGTGGGGAAGCTTGTACTTTTGGTCCGAACCTAGGTGAGTCATGATGCGCCAAACAAAAGCGAGGCCTGTCGACAGACCTTTTGTCGTGGGTGAGGCTGCGCATCCTTGTTGCGAGAAACTCATGAACCTGGTTGTGCTTTCCTCTAAAGGTTACCACTAGCAAACGCGGGACGTATTCAAGGGATGGCTTTCAAAGGACACCTCCTTGTTTTTGGACACTGTGTTGGACACTTGATTTTAAAGTTCCCGCCCCCAATTTATGCTTCCAGTCACCAATATACAACGATTTGCACTCACATTCCCAAAAAGGACGGTGCTGAAGGCCAATACCCGTGCATGCTTCCAGCCAATTTTTCTCGCCTGCGTATCGGGCGGGAGCAGCCTGCGTGCGGGGCGAGTGTGGGTTCCCACTAAAGCCCACTACCCCAAAGGCAAATAAAACTATACCCGCTACTATATAATTGTTAATATGCCAGATTCCAGTTGGGGATAATGGTCTGTGATAGTGTACACCCTCTGGGAACTTGCAGACTCAAGAGTCTTGGACCAAGACTTTTGCATGCTACTTCTGGCCGCCCTGTACTGAATGTAGCGATTCAGCCCAAACGCAGGGGTGTTCTCAAGCGACCTTCACATGCCGAATCCGATCACCGCAAACCCACCGAAGACCCCAAGAGCAGGCATTCAGTCTTAGCGCGGCCTTGAGCGAAAACAAACCAAAAAGGGGAACCCTGACAACGAATCGGTGCACTTCTCTCTTGAAACCGAAGGACATGGAAGCAATAGCTTTCCTAGCCCTGCTCCTACCCCTCTTCCCCCTACTAGGGCCTGGCTACCCACCTACCTGCATACCTGCCTGCCTGACTACCTACCAACTGCTACCTCACATCGACTAATATGGAATCCTCCAAACAAGAACACATCCTGGGCTCAAATCGTTTCTACCAGCATAATCTTAGTATAGCGCACAAATGTACGATGTCTCCTGAGTCTCCTCCAAAAGCATTTAAGTATTCTAGGGCAGGCCAAATATGAAGCAACATCTGAAAAAAGGTTACCAACGTTGGTTAAATACCCCCAATTGGGTCGGTTCCCTTTGGCTTCCTTTCAAACCCACCCCAAACAAGGGTACCCTCAAAAATTGTTTCCTTTGAACCGACGCTAAAAAAGGCACCGACTCAAACTCCCACCCCGAATAGTTGTACCCAAAAAACAACACGCGCGACACACACCCAATGTTCTTCGCACTCGACGTTCCCGTTTTTTGGCTCGACCTTTGTCCCGTCAGGCTCTGGTCCGGTCGCGCTGTCGCGTCGCCTCATGCCGGCCGTGCCAAAGATCAGGAGAGGTGTCTTGCGCCTCAGCGCCTCAGGCACCTTCTGCGCTCCTGCGGCCAGATGGGCAGGTTAGAACTCAGTTTGTCCTGAATGCAGAACATGGGCTTGACAATTGCCAATTGCCACTTTGGGTCCCAAACAGGTAGGCAACACACATGTTGAAAAATATGGGTTGGACAAAATATGGGTTCGAACCCTGTAGTGTCCCAGATCCATGAAAAGAGACCGATGGGCAAGGCCCTGTTTGGATGTTCACCTTCCGCAACGCCTCCGCACCGGCGTGGGCTGCATGCGGCGGGCGTGGATCTCCACGGCTTTGGCCGTCTCAGAGTGGAAGATCTGGAACGTCTACTCCTCCTTGTCCCTCACGTCACAGAGGAGTTGGATCTTCTTGGTTTTCTTCCTGCGCCCGTCATCTTGCCTCGTCCGCCCCAGACTCCAGGATCTCGTGCCTGACGCTCATGCGGAGCTGCAAGGTCTGCCATGCTGACCTCTTGTGAGGACGCAGCGGCCGAAGCCTGCGCCAGGCCCAACTCTATGGTAGACAAATGGGCCTTGGGCCACCAAGTGGCCAAGCATCCAAGCAAGCCGAAATACATGGGGCAAGTGTTGATGCAAAAACACTTTCTTGACGCTCTAAGTTTGCAGAGCAGGGGGCCATCTCCCAAAGCTTTGAGAACAACAACACTACCGTGGTTGTAAGTCAAAAGGCCGCGACGGCAAAAATGCGAACATATAAGCTTGGATACATAGCACTCTCCAAACACACACGCACTACCCCAGGACCCTACAACCCCGTCCAGAATGGCTCACAAACCTCTGCAACCCTGCGACGAACATGCGTCGCTGTTTAATTCATATGAACACTTAGAGAGCCTTATGGGAGGTGGAATCCACTGTGCTGAGCTTTCCACCAGTTTGTCACGCATACCCGAGGCAATATAATGCCCAGGTCAAAATCGGGCAAAAGGTCCAGCGGTCGCAATAGATGATGTCTCGCCCACCCAGGTGCTTCTTGCAACGACAAAAAGCCAAGTCGGTTTTTCGTGGCTACCCGAACCATGCGAGTGGCTTGTACTGATAAACCAAAGAAAAAGAAAAGCCTAACATATATCAACAAAACAAGAGAGACACCTAACCCAATTTGGAGATTGCCAAACCAAAATTTGGAGAAACTCGTCACTCGCTTCGTCGGAGTCCTTCTTTGAGGAGGGCCAGCAGCGGCGCCAAAGCCTTGGAGGGCTCATTGGCGTAGGAGGACAGCCCCGGCTTCGTCTTCTTCACGAAGACGGAGGAGGCCTCTTGAGACGGCGAAACAAACAAAAAATCCCAGCCAGTCGGGCAAACAACCCGTTTCGAAATTTGCTTTTTAGGTCTTTTGGCCGCGGGGGTTCAAACGTGGCTGACTTTGGGGCCAACATGGAAAGGCTTGGGGGTGATGTTCGTCTATGGGGCTTTTGGTGGATGTCATGAAACACCTAGACATGGTGCGATTCTGGACTTGTTCCATCTCGATGTGAGCTCGCCAAGAGCGAAGCAGTTGATTTGAGGGGTGGGCCTGTTGGTTTGTCTTGAAATGGGCCAGTGTCAAACAGTTGTTGATCAACCCCTTCGATTTGTCAAGAGGGCTGGACGAACCGCGATGCTGCGGTGCTACTATGCTGCGCCCGACGCTATCCCCGATGGCATTGGCTTTTGGTGAGTAAACCACAGCGTCTGATTCAGGTCCTCTCCATTTTTTGGCCCCCGCAACAAAAAAGGTGGAACTTCGTTGGATCCCTTTGGTTTCCTTACAGGGTTAGCAGGTTTCCCTAAAAAAAAAAGACACAATCCAAGCTGGTTTTTGGCTTTGAACCGTGAGTCCACGTCCCTCCCCAACCTGGGCAAAATCCTTGCGGCCTTTTGAGGCTCGGAAGGCCAGTCCGAAGGGAAACTAGAGGAAAGACGTCCAATCACGAGCTCGTTCAACCTCTGAATCGGCGAGCTCGTGATAAGTGCAAAATTACTTCTCCTGAAACCTGCCCTTCCGCCCTTCCGCAAAGCTTCCGCACCCATTGTAAATCATGGAAGTCGTCACTGGTCTTCGGTCTCGGTCGGTGGCCGTAACCTGGAGGAAGGCACAGCCACGAACCGCTTCGCTTCGGAAGGTCAGGGAGCTGCCCGAGTCGCTGGAGCTGAAGCTGGAGATCCGGAGACGAGGACATGGACGCAGCCGCTTTGGGGAAGACTACTGTAAGGAGGGCGAAGGGGGAACGGGCTGCCTGGACAAACTCGTCTTCCGCGACTCTTCCGCGAAACTTCCGCGAAATCCCTCGTTTGTTCCTGTTGCTCTTTCTGTTGGACCTTGCAATCTAAGCAAACAAAGGGGAACAGCGCTTGCCGCTGTGTGCGCCGCTGCTTTGACTTTGATCACATCTCCTTTCAATACATACACATATATCACTAGCCCTGGCCCTTCCGAATCTCTTCCGCCCTTCCGCGTCTCTTTCGCGCACACAGTGGATAGCTCATGCCACATAAGCCATACGTTGGTTTTGGCATGACGCCCATATCATCCCATATCCATCAACCGCTGTTGAGGGAATGTTCAACTCTTGAAATTGATGGCCATACTGTGGATGGACAAAATTTGGCACAACTTGGAAATTATGCGAAATAGAAAACCATTGTTTGTTGGTATTTACCAGGGAATCATCATTCCAGGGTGGTGCGAAATGGATTTCGTCCATCCACAGTATGTTGACCAAACCTCTGAAGAGAGGTAAGCGTCACAGGCCTTGCCCGCAGCCACATCCAGGGCGAACCTAAGCGGGAGAAACAAACGACACAGGTACTTAGAAGGCGATGGAAGCCAAATGGGTTCGATGCCGAATCGAGTTTGCAGGGGTGAATCGAGGGGTAGGCTTGGATAACTGGAACATCTTGCCGCACCCCCCCTCACAAAGTTTATGCTGGTTCGCCCATATATATGCCGTGAACCCAGTGGTCTCACTTCATCGGGTTTTTGTCATGGAAACAAATCAAGAGAATGGGTACGCCTGGTCCCCCCTCTTCCAACCTTACTTGGTTCTCCCAGCCAGAGAGACATAGCGGGAGCCATAGCAACCTATGACTTGAGCTATTGAGCATGTGTATCATACAACCTTGAGTATAATGTGGCTCTCATTGCTATTGGATGCCATCACCCGGTCACCACTTGCCACAACCAGATTTGAGTTAAGCAACAACCGGACAGTTGAAGACAAGCTTCCAGAATGGATTGGATAGAACAAGTCCCGATTTGTGACAAAGTCCGCTGTTTGTTTGCCGCTACAATGTTCATCATGTCCAGCCCAAAATGTACGAGTCGAACTGTGGAAGCGAGCCTAGGCTCACTTGCACCTCGTTGGCCTAGAGGGGAACCAAAGGGATTCGGATGGATTCGGTGTTTTAGGGGGAAGATGCTGATTGGAAGACACATTTATCGCTAGTTGAGGAAACGGGCCCAAAGGCCATTTGAGGGAATTCTGTTCACGGGTACCCTGTCAATAACTATTCAGTTCGAAACCAATGGCAAGTTGGACTTCTTTTGGGTTTCCCTTATTCAGACACATCCCCATTTCGGTCATCGAGCAACCGTCGCTTGCGATTTTTTGGGGGAGGAGGGAAGCTCCATCAAGGGTCGCTCCAAAGCCCTGGCAGCCTGGCAGGGAAAAAAATGATCCCTGGAAAAGGAAAACCAGGGGAACCCAAAGCACCATTTCACAGTGTTTTGGTGTTTTGAGGCTCGGAGCAACCCTGACAAATGCAAGCAACTGTATCTGTGATCCCGCTAGTGGTTGTTCTACCCTGGTCGTAGACTGACCCCCTTCCATCCATGAATACGACATGGTTGGTGGGTATGTCGAATATTTCGTTCTAAGAATCAGCCACGTTTGCAGTCTGGTCATCTCTTTAAGGCTCGAAGAACCCTTGATCCACGCCGGCCGAGGAACACGTAGAGCCGCGTTCCGGTGCTGCCAGCGTCGCACACCGCGAAGTACTCGACGGTCGAGTCGCCTGAGTCCAGGGGTGGTTGTAAATACCCCTTTTACATACCCCTTGGGCAAATGAACCCGACAGGCCTGCTGATGTTCACACCCCCAAATGGGATTACACTACCCATGTAACGTGGGTTGGAAACCAGGAAAGCCAAGGGGTATGAACAAGGGGTATGAACAAGGGGTATGTACTTCCACCCTTAGACTGAGGCCCAGTTTGGTCAAAGCTTGAACTTTCTCCCTCCTCGCTATGATACGGATACCAGCTTTAACTTTGCTAGACGGCTGAAGGTTAATCTAGGGGTTGGTTCTCCTTTTTTTTTAGTTATTTTAGCAACAAAACAGGGTTTCAGGGACCAGGGATTTCGGTGGCTTTCCGCAAAGACGGTTCCCTGCATGGGGAAGTTTGCCCCTTGCTCAAAGACATACGGACCAGACTAAACCCAAAACGAAAACGAGCTCGGCGCCAGGTGGCAGGCTCTCAGCACTTGACGGGCCGATACCCCACAGGTCAAATGTCAACCCCGTTTTGTTGTCCTGATAAGTTCGTGGCCGGCCGCAAGTAGTGCAGAATCGTTCAGCTCGAGTGGCAACAAATGTGGCTGGGCCTCTTGAATCACAAATCGCAACTGTTGCAAATGGGCCACAGGCTTCGACAGGATGCTGACATGCTTCTCAATCCAGCGGGACCCAACTAACAGGTTGCCTACCCCATTTCAGATGGAATCCTTCCCTTCTTGGGGAACCACCCCCGCGATAATCCCCCAGGTTGGTTGATCCAGGGTCGACATTGCCCTATGAGACTCGTGTAAACGAAGAAACACAAAACGCAAAGAATGGTTTTGCCCCAGGCCAACCCAACAAACCAGAATCATACGAATCTGGTGTAACACCATCCCTGAAACGGCCATTAGGTTCCAGTTAACAAGATAATCGACGGAACGACCGCGTCAACTTCCCGTATGTTCCGCCGTATTTGTTAGTGGTGAGAATCACACAGGTTACTGACTTGGGGACTTAGGGCTACAACATGCTGCCAGAACCTCGGATGTACTAACTTGCCAGGTTCGGAGTTTCAGCCAAACAGTCAAACGGCACAAACCTAAAAGGGACCTGAAAAGGACGCCCTGGTGCCCTTTGACTAGCTGGGTTGCCTGCCCTCCGCACCGGGAAGCTGGTTGCAAAAGAACGTGAAGGAACAAAAGAAGAAACACCTAGCTAAGTCTCTGGCACTGCAAGCACCCGTCCCATTTGGCTTCTTGGGGAGAGTTGAGCTTGCCTCAAAAACATGGGGAACTCCAGAAAAGGTCGGTTTCCTGTTGGTTTCCCAAGAAAAAGGGTTCCTCCAAGAACCAGGTTGCTATGCAAAGCCTTGTTCCGAGCCTGCGATGAGCGGCAGCAGAGTAAAGAACGCTCGAAGCAGCGCCATGGCCTGTCGAATGAAACCTCAGTTAAACCACACTATTTCAAGAGAGGGGGCGTTGGGGGAGCATCCCCCATTTTCATTTTTCTCGTCTTCCTCCCCAGTCGTTAACAAAGATGGCTTTCCCGTTGTTTCACCCGTTTGCCCAGTGATCGGTTTTGAAGCAGAGGGAAAGCCAGCAAACAGAAAGGGACAAAGGCGTCTGGGAGCCTACACGAGCAGAATCCAACCCCTCACCTGCACCTCATGCTTCCCCAAAATGAACCCCAGAAAGGTTTGTCATTTTTGAGGGTACCCTTTTGTGTTAAAGGGAAACTCCACGAAACCCACGTGCATCCACAGAGAAAACCCTTTTGAGCCTTCAGGAAACCCAGGGAACTGCGCGGCGGGGCCGAAATCCCGCGCCTGACCTGCCGCTTCGTCGGCTCGGTTCCCCGGGGTCTCCCCCCTCCACTCTTCCCCGTTCAGCCGGCGCATGGGCGACCCGGCGACACGAATTGGCTTCTGGGCTGTGTGGATCCAGAATTCGATTTACCTTGACTTACATGGCCCCTGCAACACATTCCTTTTGGAATCTCCTGATAGGGAACCCCCCTTTTTTGGTGTCCATGTTTGTCTGCAGGGGAGTGTCGTTTAACCCGCCTCTGAAAGAAAGCACAGCTTTCATGGCCAAATAAAGCAACATAGGGTTTACCCACCTAAGCCCAAATATGGCCTGAACGATTGTTCCTGTGCGTGTAGGAAAAGGAAAATGGGGCTGTTTGGTCAATGCCTGAAACTGCCTGAGTCTCAGTCACCTTTGTTCAGCGTCCCTTTTCATGTTGACCCGCAGGGCCGTCTGCTTAGTCCCCTGTTCTATCACTCACCACGTGTTGGCACAAAGGACCACGAAACTGAAAAGGCCTCTTTTTGCACCATCCAAATTGGACCATTGTTCAGTGCTTCCTCCAAATGCTCTGTCCAATCTCTCGCAAACGGGTGAAATCCCAAGGGCCTTCCAGGAATCCCAGACCTTGGCAGAAGCCTTTTAGGTGTCTGGGCCCCTGGATTCTGGAAACCTCGGGTTAGGAGTCGTGTGGACCCAAATGGAAGCAAACTTTTTGGCGCTAAATGGGAGGTGCCTCCATGGAGTCACCAACATCTACGCGCGTGCGGGTACGCGTGTGCGGGCTCCCTTTTTACCGCATGCATTCACTGGGCGTCCTCTCAGCTGGAGGTACTCCATGACACAAGCAACAGACCAAACATGGTGTCACAGCCCAGTTTAGTTAAGCCAGGGTTTTCATTATTTTACCCTATGCGCCGGACACTGGAAATGTGTGTGTGTGTGTCCCCTGGGTAATTATATTGCAAATCTGAAGAGTGCCCCATCCCTCCCAAATGGATCACACACCGCCAGCAAAGGGCCTGGAATTGAAGTGCTTGGGAACATCTCCTGGTCATTGCACGCTTGCCAAGGGGCAAATCCAACTGGGAAAGCGGATGCTGGGTTAACATCTCCGCTTGGCAAACGGCCCCTGATATCCATTGGCTTTGGAGTGGCAAACTAGATGCTGAACTCCTAGTCCCCCGAAAGGAATGGGCGGGCAAATGCACGTCAGGTCTGCTCGCATCGAGCACATCGCCTGATTCAGCTGCAGAGGATCTTGGCTTGTGGCAATTGCTAAATCTTTCCGGAGCCGGCACCCAGGAATGGGGGGAGGCTGAAAGTCTGAAAGTGGCGAAGCTGACGCCGCAACCAAATGTCACAAGGAAAGGCTTGAACATTGGGCACGAAGAATGCCTGTTATCTTGCGACCCATTCCCTTGATACCGGCACCGTGTGCTCTTATTCTCGAGCCCCATGGCCCCAACTTCCATTGCCACAGGCGTTTGGCGCCACGGCTACACGTGCCCAAATTTCAAAGAGCTCGCTCTGTCCATTGAAGCTTCCATTGGAATGCTCCGTGCGACTTCAAGCATCTTCCTTGAAGAGTTAAAAAGGCTTTTGATCTAACCCCTCCTGCCCCCAGTAATACTGGCACAATATATGTGCAAGCCACCTGTTGTGGACATGGGAAAGTGAGTCCCCCTGGTTGTTGATTGAAACCTTGCGAGTCCCCCATACCTCTCAAGTTGACCATAGATAAACTGTGTATACCTGCTAAACAATTCGAGTTGGCCATGCACTCATGCAGGTGCGTCCTTTTGAAAGGGACCCGTTTTGGATGGTAAACCGTGGCACAGCCTCCACGCAAGGGGGGGGCATCATCATTCTGGCCGTTGCCATTTTGTTCAGGGATCCTTCTTCAACTCGGCGAACCAACCAAAACAAAAAGCTGGTTCCTCAACAGAACGATGGGTGAAATGGGGAATCAGGCTTTGATGTATGACCTTCCCCCAATGTGGGTTTCCCACGCCCTGAGCCATCAGGCGCTTGCAACCTCCCTACACCAAAACCTTTGTGCGGATACCAAACTTTGCACAGATCGGTGCGTTCGGCATGGAAGCGTCCTTAGCACGATTCCTACACGCCGGGCGAGCGCGGTCAACGGGTGCTTAGTTCGTAGTTGCGCTGCTGGTGAACCAATTGACCTATTGGACCTTGAGCCAAAATGTAGCTCCAAGGAGGCAGTCGGGTATCAGCCTCTAATAGGGCCTTGATTGGGCCGTATCTGGGGTGGTTGGCTATCCCTAGGCCAAGGATACCCCCCCCATGTTCCCCTTTCGAGAGGAGGCCGAACAACAAATCATAATGGGATCCGAAAGATTCCACGGCACAAGGGATTGGAGACTGTTGGCGAAAGAGGGCCCAGTGCAAGCCCAACAGTACCAGCTTCACGATTTGGTCACTAGGCTCGGACACCTGCCGTCCGACATTTCCATAAGCAACGGATCCCCTGAGACTAACAAAATTGTTAAACAAGCTCATTGCAAAGTGCCACGCTCGCGTTGGCGGAACTGGTTCTGACGGAGTCATTGGCGCGGTAACTGTGCTGCTTCAAAAGGTGCGACGTGGCAGTTGCATAGCCACATTTGCACCAAACCCGCTTGTATGTGGGCCTGAATAATTAGAATAGGGTTGTGGGGTAGTTTAAAATCAAATGTGGTCATGGTAGTAGGGGCACACTTTCAGTAATAGTTTGGCTTCTTGTTGTTTGCAGCCGAAAATGTGAAGCCAATCATCCAATCTTCAGGAATGACTTCATGGGAAACTCTTGTTGCTCCCACAAGTGCCTTTCCAACAAAGGGTCAGTCGCTTTGATCGGTCGCGACGTTTGTCTTTTTTTCTGCTAGGAGTGGCTTTTTGTTGGAGTGGCTCGCTACAAGAAGTGGCTGGATGTGAGCACCGTGACTGTGACCAAGAGAGGAGGGCGGGTGGAGGGCAACATCCCTAGCATCGCCGGGCTCAGTCTGCGCCTGATCTGTTGCCACTGCAAGACAGGCATGAGCCCCATGCTGTGTTGCAGGGCTGGTTTCAAGCCGCTTAAGTTCTTGCGGCAGGAATCGGGTAGGCTTTAGACGGTCTTAGAGCTTTGTCAGGGTTGGTGGTTGGTTCGTTTGTTTTTTGAGCTGCTTATGGTTGAACTTGGGTAAACTTGGGGGTGGGTAAACTTGGGGGTGGCTTCGGGCTGGCTTGCGTCAGGCTTCGGGGCTTGTTTCAGCTGTGCTTACTGTTGCTGAAGGGGCGGTGTTATGGGTGCGGATTTATTTTGTGTTTTTTGTTGGGTTCGTGCCAGTAAAATGCCGTAGTTTACAGCATGTTCTCGCAAAATTGACGTATTTTACACTAGCTCGTCAACATCCCCAGCATTATTTTCAACATCCCCCGCATGTCCGACCAACATCCCCAGCATCACCAACAAATTGTGGGTAACAAAATCTAAGGGTTGACGGGGTCGAAAACATGATGATTCAATCAGGAAGGCATTTGAATCGCTATAAACAAAATTACAAAGTAGCGGGGTGGGTTGGGCAGGCCCCCTTCCATGATGTTCGCAGAAGTTTCGAATAGGGGTGAATTAAATCTCTGCAAAAAGTTTAAAAGGGGGGTTGGGGGGGGGCGGCAGCCCCCCATGATGTTCGAAGACTTGATGATTTAAATAGGGGGGCAATCAAATCTCTGTAGAAAATCTAAAAAGTAGCGGGGGGGTTGGGGGGGCGGCAGCCCTCCCCCATGATGTTCGAAGAAGTGATGATTCAAATAGGGGTGCAATAATTCAAGAAAGGGTGCGATAGAATATAAAAAGCAGCGGGAGGGTTGGCGGGGATGGCTTCCCCTTTAATATTCGAAGAAGTGCGTACATACAGACACAAATAGACTACACAGATTGCATAAAATGTTGTATTTTACATCATTTTCTTGCGAAATTAGATGCTCGAAAAAGTGATGATTCAAAAAGGGGTGCAATTAAATCTCTGCAAGAAATCTAAAAAGTAGCGGGGAGGTTGGGGGGGAGGCGGCAGCCCCCCCCATGATGTTTGAAGAAGTGATGATTCAAGCGGGGGTGCAATTAAATCTCTGGACACAATCTAAAAAGTAGCGGAGGGGTTGAGGGGGGAAGCCCCCCATGAGGTTAGAAGAAGTGATGATTCAAACAGGGAGGAACTGGTGATGCTGAGGATGCGACAAGCCAAAGCCAAAAAGCCACCAAAAGCCGCATAAACCTACAAGAAGCCGAGAAGCCAAAAAGCCAAGAAGCCGAAAGCCAAGAAGCCAAGAAGCCAAGAAGCCAAAAGCGGGGGGAAAAAAACAACTCCCCGTGTTATTTGTATTTTTGCTGGTGTGCGACCAACCAACCAACCAACCAACCAACCAACCAACCAACCAACCAACCAACCAGCCTTGGAGCCCTTGCTAAGCTGCGAGCCACTCCTAGCAAAAAAAAACGTCGCCTCCGCTTTGATCTATGGCAGGCTCTCCACAAAGCGGTTGCGAAATGACCACTGGCCTCTAGAAACACGCGCACCAAACATCATGGTACCAGAAGTGATCCTTGGGGCACCAAACTACACTGCATCCCACA